AACAGAACGCCAGGTTTTCCTTAGGTTAATCCCACTAACTTCAAAAGATAAGGTCAATGATTAAAATAATCTACCGAAAAGAAAAACCACGAAAAGCTAATATCCGCTACGGCATTTATTTATGTGGGTTTGTGGGCACACGTACTATTATTCCTAAGCGATACACAAGCTTGCTAAATCAAACCGGGAAATTCCTCAGCGCAAAAATATTTGGAGCAAAATAATAGAAAAGTAATATATTTCTTGATATAATGAAAAGTAGTGAAATTCTAGGTCTAGTGACCCTGTCACACATAGCTATTATCTTCGATTTCTCTTGTGACGACTCTAATACCCAGGAGCAAGAGGTCTTGCTAGGAGCAATTGGAAACAAAGGATATGCAAAATTTTAGAGAGTAAACAAGTTGTCTATGTAAAAAAATGGTGAATGGATTAAATCTGTATGGGAATTTATCGTAAGTTCAAGAAAATGGTTTAAAAATACACGTAAACAGTAATATATTCTCACCCGAAAGACCTGCACACAAAGCCAAATACATAAGATATGGGAGAATCGGCCCGAGGCTTTGAGAGTCGGTGAACCAGGAGAGAATACGAGGTATGCCCCATCGCTGCAGGGAGGAGGGTGGGGCAAGAACTGCTATGGAGGGTGGCGAGACATAAACGTTACTAGAACTGGCTGAATAATCAAGCAGACTGCTCTTAAAACCGAGGGGCAAAGTCTGTGGGTATGCCGCGTATTCCGCTGGGCCACGCTGAGAATTTTAGGAAGTTCATTGATGCTAAATTAAGCTTTTGTACGTGTTTTTCTTAATGAGAATAGAGACATCTCATGAGTTATGTACACTTCAATGACTATTCTCAACAGGGAAAACACGCACAAAATCCTAAAGGTGATGTTACACGGGACGATTCGCAAGGACGATTTTTAGCGCAACCCAGCCTTACAACATTGTTATTACATGGTTTCGAATGACTGCAATATTGTTCCAATATTTGATCCCTGTGTTGCTCTAAAATCGTCGCTGCGAATCGTCCTGTGTAACATCACCTTAGGGCCTGTTTACATGGAAGTGGGGGACCTCAGGTAGGTGAGGTAGCCCGCTTAGGTGGGGTAAAAAAATAACCCTCCTTTACATGTAATCTTACAACCCGCCACCCCGTAGTGCACATTTTCAAGATTATTGAATGATCGCTAAGCACGTAAACAAGAAAAATGCTGGCAAACCTCGTGTTTTGGCGATTAATGCTCTTCTACACTCACGTGCTGCTCTTGCTGCAACCTTCAGTGCTGTGGCTTTCTATTGCTGCCTTTAATAATGATGCAAAGCCACCGCCAAAATGGATTTTGCTCGAATTTGATGTATTCCGAATCCGACCCCGGCTAGGCGGGTTACCCCACCTTGAAACGTTTACATGGCAAAATTTGACCCCGGCTTAGAGGGGTTACCCGGTCTGGCAGACCGCACTACCCGCCTCGGCGGGTCACCTTACCTAGCATGTAAACTTGATCCAAGTAAAATGAGAGATTATATGGACAGGCGGGTTACCCCACCTAAACGGGTTACCTCTCCTACCTGGGGTACCCCATCTCCATGTAAACAGACCCTTAATTTAACATCAATGCACTTCCTAAAATTCTCAGCGTGGTCCAGGGGAATACGCGGCATACCCACGGCCCACACGATTGGCTGTGAAAACAATAGGATAATAACACTGTCAAACAATAACCCTAAACCCTCAACACAAATTGACCACTCCAGAAATACCATAACATACCATAATGTTCTTTGTTTGTCACCCCAAAATTTTGCATAAGCATTGTCTTCAGTTTCTCTTGGGAGTTAACTGAGACGTCCTTCGTTTTGGTGGGTATAGATTTTAGAGGTCTAGTCTGAAAACGGGTGTAGAAAATTCCAATTTTTGGTCTGAAGTCAGGTCATGATTTGAAGAACCGGTCGGCCCACCCCCACCAAGAATTCGTAGGAGAACCCGCCCCGGGGTATTTCGGGGTGATTCGCTCGGGCGTTCACCTTTAAGGTAGTTCTTCTCACGTGCTGAAATATGTTCTGTTCGTTAATGCTAGTTTTTCCTTTTTTTGATTCATTATGTAGCTCCTTTACGAGCGTAGAACAGTGCCTCAGTTCGCACCAGAACTGTACTGCCAATTATATCCAAGCGCCTCTATAATGTAATCTGGAAAGGTGAACGTCTGAGTGTGGTCGCCCCGCTACCCTCACCTGTGCTCACCTCCGGTTTTGGTCCAAGAGGGCAGAAAGCAGGAAAAGTGTAAAAGAAGGTTCAGCAAAGCATTAAATTGGTGTGTTATCAGTTTACCTCATACATGTATACTAATGCCTGTTCCCACCGAACGATGGGACACATTTTTAAAAACTCTGTGATTCCGTTTCGCGCGCACTCCTGCTTAACGTACTTGAATTACTAGTTGACTCACATAACAATCGTTTTTACTATAGCTTGAATACCCATGCTTTTAATGTTAATCTCTGAACAAGTATAATAAACACATTTTCATCTTCTCTCTTTAGTTAGCGAAAAGAACGAACTCCTTTTTTAATGCAAATTATCCGCAGCCTACTCGGTCGCTAACTTCCCATCCTTAAAACTAACACTATCATAGAGTACTACTTTACTTTGGTTAAACCTCTTGCCTGATGCCAACATGCGGCCAAAAGCCAATCCTTTTTCTCTTACAGGTACCATTTCACAGAAAACGCAGTTAACTAATATAATAAAATCGGCCTTCGAGTTTGTGATCGCTCTAAATTGGCATTATCTTTTCAATCCCCCGTCAATACAACTGACAAACTTGTTTTATTTAATATCTAAATACTGCTTAGTACTTTCTACTTTTTTTTAGCTGCATCCCTTACGCGTCGTTCAAACTGATGCCTTGATCCAGATTAAGTATTTCTAAAGAAGGCTAATAAGCTTAACGATTTGTACAATTCTGAGGCCTTAATGGCCAGCAAGGACTTAGTATCTCCAATGCCCAGTTTACAACAACGCTTAATTAATTTTTTAATTAATTTCATTAATTGAATCTTAATTTTCTCTAAACTGAGACAGATGTCTCTCCGAACATCATGAGAGTTTATTGAAAAAAATTATTTTTTATAAAACCTGTTTAACAAACCCTTTGGTGAGAGCGAAGCGTTAGGCAGGTACACAGACCCTTCCTTGTAATGACTAAAAACCACTCTAGATACATTCGTAGATAAACCCTTTTACTCCCAGGATAAATAAATTATGGAGAAATGTAATGTAGATTCAGCTTCTCATGCGGGTCTTTAGATTCATCCAAATACTCGAATGAAAGCTAGTCCTGAGCAGCACTTGAGTGTTACTGTTTATTATGCCCTTCACGTTCTACGACTTATGAGTCTCTGGATGAAATCCTACAGTGTGACCTTTCAAATGAAAGCCACTGAGCAGTACTTTTCTTTGATCCCGTTTACTTATTATGCTTTAAAAGGTGATTCTAACTCTTCAGTCGGTGGTTGAGTCTGTGACCATATTAATTGAAGCAATTTAGAAGTGCTTTCGTATTGTACAGTTTATAAATTTCTACAAGGTGGCTCGATCTGACTTCCTAGCCTCGTGGAGAATTCTTTGTTGTGACCCTTTGTTGTGGCACTCGGTGTATTATGCTACACATATGGAGGTTATAAATTTTGAGCTCTTGGAATAAACTCGTGCAATGTGACATCCTAATCAAACAATTGTTTTTCAGTACTTTATCAAACGATTTTTTTTTGGGGGGGGGCACGCTTGCACGTAAAAGATTGTTTTGCTGGCTCTGCATACTAGTCCTCGCTGTGGCCAAACGTACAAGTGGAGTACAGCTAACTCTCTCAGACATGTCTATACAAAGGACACCTTAAGTTACCCTGCTGAGGTATTCCGGATTTCAAGTGACAGGGATGATCAGATGGCTGGCAAAAATCAAAACCCAAAAAAATCCCTAAGGCTCCTAACAAAACCTCCAAAAAAAAATCCTGGACCAAAAAGTAAACCCAAAAAATCCGATGCCGAATAAATGAGCCATAAAGATATCCAGAAAGCATTAAATATTAAAAAATCCTCAAAAAAAAGGTTGGCTGTACTAAAGTCGCAGAACTACGCGACCGAGATACGTGGGCACTATCACGAATCTTCTGATTGTTTTGAATACCCAAACAAAATTACCTACTTAAAAAAAGACACCCAAAAAAATACTTGCAAAATGTTCCTACCCCAAACTACTCAAGCCCAAAAAGATCCGTTGATTATCCCCGTCACCATCCGCAGTACCCCCCCCCCCCCCCCCCCCCGCAAAAAATTCTCCCCCCTCCAAACTCCCCAAACCCCAAAACACTCTTTGTTTATCCCCGTCCCCTCCCCCGCTCCCCCCCCCCCCCTCCCCAGGGTAAAGTTGGTTTCCTCACTCTCTAAAACGCGAAAGCCTCAAAATGGACTCTTAGCAGTGACTAACGTATGGTAGCCTACGAGCAAGCTCTCCCGGGGCTACGGGAGAACTTGCTCGCAGGCTAAGGGAATGGTTCTGAAGTAGAGAGTTGGCGGTATATCCGATCGCATTTGAACAGATTTTTACTGTCAAACTGCATGTATTAAACCGCTTAGTGTAATCTATGTTAAACTAAAATTAATATGGCTTTTATCCTAAATACTAAACAACCGTTACAAACAATGGGAGAAGAAGCCTTCTGATCTACACCCTTTACGTTTCACCAAGCCTTATATCAATAGACTCAGCTAACAATGGAGATCATTAGCTTTTCGGATTCGTTGTATTCTGGTAAAGGAAAGCTTAATGACCTCTACAAAATTGGCTGCGGTGGAGACATCCGTTTTCCAAAAATATGGAATCAAATCTGGAAGATCGCTTAGCGAAAGGAAAGATTACTTTGCTCCTGTTAAGAAAAAAAGGGAAAGATTTTGATGAAGTTTCGTGCCATTGTTGATTAGGATTTTGATTTTCAGGACTGTTCTTCATCACTCGAACTTTTGTCATCTGAATCGCTGGATTCAGAACTGTTGCGCAGGTTTTCACCATCTTCTATAATATCTTCCCTTCCCTCCATTTCTGCTTTTCGTCTTCTTCTTTCTCTCCTTCTTTCTCTCCTCCTCCTCCTTCTTTCTTTCCTATCTTCTTCACCTTTATCTTGTTCCGCATCACCGTCATCGGTTTCTTTTTTAGTGGTCGCATAATACCCCTCTGATCGTAGAGCTTCGTTTTCACGTTGCAGCTTATTCATTCTTCGCCTCATCGATATCAATTGATTATTGAAGCCTTCTTTATCACGCCGTTGGCTCTGTCTTCGTTCAGACAGACTTGAGATCTGCCTGCTAATCTCATGCAAATCGCCTTCCTTTTTGCTTTGCCAAGCAGACAAATAAAGCCTCAGACTTTCTTTGTCAAACTCGGCATCTTCAAGCTGTTGCTCAAGGCGGGTGATCTTGTTGCGCTGGTTGGTGACTTCTGCCATGATCAGAGCTTTGGATTCTTGAATTGATCTGTTCTCTCGACTAAGTTCGTCAACTCTCTGTTGCAGTAACTTAAGTTCTTGTTCTTTATCTTCCTTGGCTTTCTGACTGATATCATACCTCTCTTCCAGTTCAGAAAGTCTTCTCTGGTAACTAACAACTTCGTCGCGCAGAGTTGCGCTTCTGACGGTCTCAGTGTTGTAGTTGATGGTTAGCCTTTCAATGGTCTCGTTGGCATCTTGAGTTTGATGTTTCAGCTCGCCGATCACCTTGTAACAATTCAGCAGCTCCGCCTGCAATTCATTTTCTCGTTCATGGCTGCGTTTATAGGCTTCTTGCAATTTGATGTATGCTCCGGTTTCTTCATTTTCCTGGCGAGTGCTTGTGTGGATCTCATACTCGGCTTCGATCTTCGAGCATTTCCTCTCCAATGATTCGTACTCCAATTTAAGGGATTCCTTTTCGTTTTTCTCCGCATCCAGGTCAGACAACAAGTCATTGATCTTTCGTTTGGCTGCTTCGAGTTCAAAATTAAGCTTGCTCTTGTCAGAGTTAAGGGTCTGGTTTTGATAATCTAAATTAATGACCGTGCTTTGCATGTTATCCAGTTTTTCCTCAAGTCGCTTCTTGTCAGTGTTTAAGTTGTCGTAATTGGTCTGTAACATGTTGTACTTGCTCTGCCAGGAGGCAATATCTATGTCGATGCCCTCGCGCTCGTTTATTCCAGCCTCTATTTCATTTCCCATGTCCACACCTGCTTCCAAACTGCCATCCTCAACGGTCACCTCTTTGATCATTTCCTCGGACTCACGTCGGTGCTCTTCGAAAGCTTCCTTCACTTTTTCTAATTCCGCCTGAAGCCTATTTCTCTCCTCCAGCGATCCCTGAAGACGATTTTCAAGGTCATCCACCTTCGGCTGTAGTTCGTTTAAGTCATTTTGAATGTTGTATTTCTCTGTGGCCATGTTATTGTATTCATTTCTGTAGTTGGCCAGCTCCCCCTTGACTTTCTCTAACTGAGCCGTTAACTCGGCGATTTCTCTCTCTAGGCCATCAATGACGTATTTCAGCTCTGACCAATCGTGTACCTAGGAAATAATATGATATTCCTTTGCTTATCTCAAAATAGCTTCACCCCCTGGGCTCCGACCCGAGTGGCTTTATGCGTAATACGTTAGTCGCTGACCGTCAAATACAGAGTTTGGTTAAGAGCTGTTGATTAAGGATTGCATTAGCAAGTTCGGGCTTATTGTTCCCGATAATCCTAATTGCCCACACAACGCAAAGCCATGTCATGCACGAAGGGCACGGCTTATTAAAGTTACAGTTATAACAGGTATCGTATCCTGCGTAGCAGGCGTTTGGAGGTAATATGTGAGGACGAACAGAGCGCGCACTATCCCTTCGTTTGTCTTTCTCGCGCGCCCCGTTCTCTCTTGCCCCCATTACTTCAAGGTGCCTGTTACGCAGGCTACCGGTATTGCGGCTGACAGCCGTTCTATTAATTTCCCGTACACCAATGTTCATTTTGTGACAGGTCCAATATATCAAAATCAAAAAATGCATACTTATATGTTAAGAGGCGGTCGTTTTCTTTTTTTGTAATCCTCCTCCTTGTAAAGAAACCACATAAGCTGGAAAATTTAACTAAGGCGGCTGACGTCTTCCATTTTAAGCGGATAAAGGCGACGCAATCAGAGCATGCGTGAGCGCTGTGCGCTGGGGCAAAGGGGTCAATTCTCTGCTTAAACACGCCGTTAATGGAGAAGGTCAAATAATGCAACTGTGACTTACCTGAGAGTCGTACTGCTGTCGTAATTCTCGCAATTTCTTCTGCAGCTTTACATTTTCTTGATTCAAGTCATCATTTTTTAGCTTCACTTGATTTAGGGTTCCTCTGACCTGAGCATGTTGTTTGGCTTCCCTTTGTAGCTCATCTTCCAGTGACTGGATCTTGTTTCGCAGGGACTGCATCACGATGTTCAATTCATTCTTAGTGTTGTTGCAGACTTTTATGGCTGCCTCAAAGTCTGCTGTCTTTTTGTAAGCCTCCAACATTTCCTTTCGCTGCTGTTCGATCTTCTCCTGGTCCTCCTCTGCTTTAGTTTCAAGCTGGGACGCTCTCTGCCTTGCCTTGATCAAATCATCGCTTATTTCCTTTACTTTTTCCACATAGGTCTCGTTCGTGGCCTCTGTACGGAAGATTTTGCTTTTAGCGACATCCAAGTCTTGCTGTAACTGGGTGATTTTGTGCTTCCACCCGATAACTTCATCAGAATTAACCATGTCCTTGGATTGGAGATCATTGAGCTCTTTCTCCAGAGTTTCAATCCTCTTTGTCTTCCACATGGATTCACCCTCTAAGAAATTCTTGGCCCTACCCAAATCAGAAAGTTCAATCTCTAACTTCCCTAACCTGCTTTGCAATATCGCGAAATCTTTATCCCTTTCATCTTTTTCTCTCAAAATCTTCTTGTAAGAGAATTCCAGATCATTGTACTTACTTGAGGAAACAAGATCATCGGGGAAGAATGTTACGTCTGGAGCCGTCATAACTTCAGGTCTCGTCTCCACAACAATTTCCTGTTTTTCCAGTCGAATGGTCTCAAGCTGCGATTTCTGGTCGGAGATGGTCTTCTTAAAGACACTAATTTCGTCCCTAATACGCTTGTTGGCCGCTTCCAAGGCCTTAGAACGAAAATCTAAGCTTCGCATAGAATGTATCTTCATGTTGAGCTCGTTCTGTATTCTCTCAATGTCGTTCAAAGCATTCAAGTACTTCTTTTTGAAATCAGATGCATTTGCACTGTGGGAGGCCACTTCTTTGCGCAAATTCCCTAGCTCCTCTCGAAGTAGGGTGGAATTCTGCTCAAGGTCTAAAATCTTTGCCTCCCTTTCTTGAATTTGTGAATTTAAGTTGATGACCGTTTCTTCTAGCTTTTCGTTGGATTCCTCACTTTCGTACAACTTGTTCTTCAGCGAGCTGATCTCCTCCTTGAACCGAAGTTCGTTGTTCTCGTGCAAGTTAATTCTATTCTGACTCTCTTCTAATTCTCGCTTTAGTGTATAGATGTCCCCATTAAGGTCGCGTACTTCCATTTTGGTGGAATCAAGCTCACGTCGCGTCCTGTGCAAACGATCTTGTACTTCAACTAACTCTCCATTAATTTTAGCTTGTCCTTGCAAAGCTCGATTTCGTTCATTATCTAAAGCATGATTCTTTTCTTGCGCTTTGAGCAGCTCTTGATGGAGGTTCTCGACGTGTGTCTTTGACAAATTTAGTTTGAGCTCACTTTCGTTCAGTTTTCTCTTCACCTGGAAAAGCTGGTTCTCGACGTCTGAACGACGCTTCTGTGCTTCAACCAAGGCAGCTCTGGTTTCCTCTGACTCCCTCCGCAGCATCTGGTTATCGCGTTCCAAGGAGTCTTTCTGGGCGCGTAAAGAGGCAACAACTCCTAAGGCATCAGCCTGTTCTTCCGCTTTCTGAAGACGAATAGTAAGCTCTTGAGCGCGTTTTTCCAGTTCCAAAATAACCTCGTCTTTTCCCTTCAACTTTTTATCCAGGTGATTTACTTGAGTTTGCAGCTGCTCTTTTGAATTGACCGCGTATCGTAACTGCCTCTCGAGCTGTGAAATTCTGGCTCTGAGATCTTCCAGATCTTTTTTGAGAAGGTCAACTTCAGTTTCATCTTCTGTAGATTCCAGTCGGCTTTCCGTTTCCACAACGATCGAAGCTTCTATTTGTTGTGAGGACTCCAAGTGGGCAATGCGCTCTTTGGCTTGAAACAGTTGGTCCTGTTGCTCTTGGCATTTCTCTTCATTTATCTTTATGTGGATGTTGAGTTCAGCAATCTTCTGTTTTAATGATTTATTCTCCTCGTCCAGACGCTTAACCCTGTCAAGGCTACTTTCGCTCTTACTTTCAATCAGAATGATTTTCTCGTTTGTTGACTGGTAGGATTTTTCCAGTTCCTGCATCTTTTGAAAGGTAGATTCATGATCGCTCTCCAAGACTCGCAAGTTCTTCCTCAGTTCATCGTTCTCTTTATCTTGGTCGTCTATTTTGTTTCTTAACTCAGTAATAATTTCCTCTCGGTTCTCAATCTCCCTTTTCAAAAAGGTGACATTTCCTTCCAGTTCGGTTAGCTGCTTGTCAACGTCCATCTTTTCTTCGCGAAGGCTATTTATTTCCATTTTCAGTTCTTCTATCTTTTCGTACAGAGAATTTTTCTCGTTCATCAGATCATTGACCTGATCATCCAGGTTGTTGATTTTCTCCTCGTTGATTTTGCTCTCCTCAACCGCTCTGTCTCTTTCGCCCAGCATTTTGACCGCATCTGTCTCAAGTTCGTTGATCTTGTTATGCAGTTCTAGGATTTCATTCTGTTTACGTACATCTTCCGCTTTAAGGTTTTCATTTTCCTCTTCCCTGTCTTCTAATCGACGCTTAGCAGCATCGAGTTGGTCTTCGAAGAATTCGTTGCTGACTTTTAAGGTTTTGATCTCGTTGTCTTTTTCTGTCACTTCCTTCTGAGCCTCTTCGAGTTGTATTTTGGTTTCCACAATGGTTTGTTCTAGTTCCATATTCTGCTTCCTTACCTTCTCCAGTATCTGTAAAACATCTTCCACTTCTTTTTTTAACGATTCTTTCTCTTTGACTTCATTGTCCCAAGCTACTTCAAGGTCCGCTAACTTGTTGTTAACAGATTCCAGGGAGTTTCTGAAAGTTTGTTTCTCCTTTTCACTGCGATCGCAAGCTGACTGCAACTCTCGTATCTTACTATTCAATCCATTGCTTTTCACTCGAAGATCAACGTTCTCTTGTTGGAATTTGCGATAGTCTGCCTCCAGCTTCTCCAATCGAGATTTTAGCGTTTGCACTTCCTGTTTATAGCTGCTTTCGCGGTCCTGACTGGCCTTGTAGAGGGTCTCTATTTCAATGTATTTGCTATCATGGCTTGCACTCCCCCAGTCTCCCTCCTCTCGTTCCTTATTCAAATTTTGAATGTTTAGTTCCAGCTTTGTCATAGTTACATTGGTTTGCTTGAGGCTGTTTTCCAATGATTTGACTTTTTTCTGGGCAGATTCATGAGCATTTTGGGAGGTCAACAATTCTTTCTTCAAGCTCTGGGCCTCCTCTTCAGCAGCGACCTTCGTGATTTTGAGTCGTTCTATGACCGAGTTCTTACTCTGAATATCTTTGACCCGCGCTTCAAGATCTTTCTCCAGGTGCCGTAAGTCAGTCTGCAATGACAGGTTTTCATCCTTGACCTTCTTTAATCGCTCGTTCAGGTTTTTGAGCTGCTCTTTCAAGTTTTCTCGTTCCTTTTTAAATCTGTTAACCTCGGATTCAACTATAGCCAACTTGTGCGTTTTGTTACTTAGATCAGTCTCTAAAGAGTTTCTCTGAGATTTCAGATCTTTTATCTCGTTCTCGAGTAGACCGAAACTTTTTTCTCTTTCTGCGAGCTTTCGCTCTAATTTCGCCTTTTCCGACTTCACACCCTCCAGAGTTATATTTCCAGCGATGACGTCCCTCTTAACATCAGCCAGTTCGTTTTGTATTTTCTTGATTTTGTCATTCAGCTCTTCAATCACCTTTTCCTTTTTTGTATTCACTGTTTTCAATACTTCGTTCATTTTCTCCTGCTGGTTTACCTTTGCCCGGAGATCTAGATTTGCAGCCTTTGCACTCACATTCTTGCTGTTGGAATCTTGCAAGTTATCCCTGAGCTGCACGTTTTGCTTACGTGCGACCGCCAGTTGGCTTTCCAGTTTCTCTATCTTTTCTTTCGCAATGTACAATTCATCTTCTGCTTTTTCTTTGTCTTCTTCGGCAGCTTCTAAATCGTTCTCCTTCTGCATGAGGTCACTTTTGGCATCTAAAATGTCGCGGTCGAGATTAGCTTTCTCCTTCTCAAGCTGTTGAAGAAGTTCGTCCAAGCTTTCTTTCTCTTCGTTTGCCATGTCCACTTTCGCCTTTAGCTCATCAATTTCTTTCGATAGGTCTTTGTCTTCGAGTGTTCTGATCTTCATTTTAAGGTTTCTGATCTCCTTCTCGAGTTGGGAATTCTTTTCTTTCTCCTCACTCAGTTGATTGTCCTTTTCGTCAGCCAAATTTATTGAAGTATGGTAACTGCTTTCAACCACATTGACTTTTTCAACAATGACAGAGTTCTCACTTTTCAGCTCATCGATTCGTCTTACATTATTGTCGAGTTCTACAGATAATCGATTAATCTCCTCGGTCTTGGAGTTTAGCTCAGTTTTTAGCTTCCTTCCCTCCTCTTCTTCAGCTGCTAACTTTGCTTTAGTTTTGGAAAGCTCTGTCTTTATATCATCGGTTTCATTCTCGAGATCGCTTAACTCAGATCTAAGCGCTGCCATTGTAGCATCTTTGCTGTCTACGTCTCTGCGGTAACTATCAATCAGACGTTGTAGTTCAGCAATTTGTCCTTTGAGCTGTTCCTTCTCGGCGTTAAACCTGCTAACAACATCACTATGTTCCTTAGCATCTTCCTCAAGTATTTCTTTCTCTTTCAACGCCTCACGAAGTTCACCCTCCACACGAGCGAGACTTTGTTTCAAGCTCAGGACTTCTCCTTCCATGTCTCTCTTTTCTTTTTGGGCGTTTTCCAAGGCGTTTTCCAGCTCATATTTCTCACTTCGAGCGTCTATCAGATCACGTTCAGCGGTCTCTTTCTCGTCCTGCACTTGCCTAAGATCCTCCTCCAGGTCCGCCACTTTTTTGTTTCCATCAGCAACTTCGTCCTTTAGCTCATTCTTTTCATCCTCAAGCATGTTGATCTGAATATTGTGTTGCTCCAACTCCTGTTCTTTCTCATAGATATTTCCTTCAAGACGACGAATAGAATCTCTCAGGTCATTGATATCATTTTGCTTTTTTACGCTGTCATTTTTTATCCTTTCAAGATTTCGGTTTGCTTCCGTGATCCTTGACTGCAGCGAGAAAATTTCTTTCCTCATCTGAGAGTTCTTTTCCTTTTCAGCGTTTAATTCTCCCCTCAGCTGCGCTTTACCATCGTTGGCGACACCAAGCTGAGCTTCCAGATTAGAACTCTTTGCTTTCTGTGCATTTAATTCCAGCTCAAATTCGTCACGTGCACTTTGCGTCATTTCCATGGTCAACTGCAGTTCTGCCAACTTTTTCTCCAGGGGCTCGACACGTAGCTTCAGGTCGTCTCTCTCTTTGGTGGTGATGGCATGACGGGATTCCCACTCGCTGGACTTGTTTTGATGACCTTCAATTTTAGACCGCAACCCATCAACTTCACTCATGTTGGAATCATGGGTTGACCGGAGCTGAGTGTACTGATTGTTGATACTCTCGAACTCATTCTCTATGTCATATATACGTGTGCGACAACTGGTCAGTTCGTTTTCCAGGTCTCTTATTCGCTTAGTCATCTTCGAACTCTGGTTTTCATGTGTGGACACCTTACTTTTGGCTGTTAGAAGCTCACGTTGGAGATCACCATTAGTTTCTCGAAGGCTGTCGATCAGAGCTATCTGTTCAGCGATTTTCCGTTCGGACGAACGAAGTTCGTTTTCTAGATCTACAATGCGTTTCGTCTCCCTTTCGACACGCGTTCCACTTTGCCATAGCTCATGCTTAACCTGATCGAGCTGTCCTTCCAAAGAGCCGTTCTTCTCCTCCAAACTGAGAATCTGCCTGTTTTTTCCTTCTGTTTCATGGCGCAGTTTGTTGGCCTCACGCTTGTTGTACACTATCTCAGTTTGAGCGTTCGAAAACGCTTCTTTGTTCCTCTTGAGATCGTCATTCAACTTCTCCAGACTTTGCTTAAGTTGCTCGATCTTCTTATGGGAATTTTCAAGTGAGACTTCAGTTTTCCTTACTCTAAGGTCACACTCTCTCTTCGTGGCATTCAAATCTCGTATAGCGCGGTCGTAATCGGTCTGCATTTGGGATAGCCTCGTCTGCAAGTTGTGAATCTCAGCTTGTAATCCTTCCTTTTCGTCTACGACGGTTTTTATCGCCACTTCGTACTCTGATTCATGGGTGCTGAAAAGCTCACCTTCGTTTTCAAACGATTCCTGCACTATAGCAGTCGACTGGCTGATAACCATTTCGGACTTAAATGTGTCCAGTTCATTCTGCAGTGACACCTTGTCGGCCTTCAGAGATTGTATGGTGCTATTTTTTGAGGACAACTCACGTTGAAGGGATGACAATTCAGACTCGCGCATAAAAAGCTGTTTTTTTATGATCTCAAGATCTTCGTTGAGTCGATTCTTGTCGATCTTTGTCTCCTCAAGCTGTTCCTCGACACGTTGCTTCTGGCCCTTCAAGGTTTCAATTTCCACTCTTAGCTGCTGAACCTTTGTGGACAGATTGACAAATACAATTGGCGAATATCTATCACGACATTAAAATGCCAGACTGATCTAGTTGCTTCCCTTGCTCATACTACCGAAACAGGTACACTGCGAATTCAAAGATACGGGTGACAGTTGGCTTCGGTGCCAGGCGTTAACTACTTGAGTTATGTGGCTTTGTTTGTCAAATCGAAAAGTTGATCTCACGTACTCACCTTTTTTCTCGTTGGTGGCTTTGGTGTTTGCGCATTAGCGCTATAAAGCGCTAGAAGGCTTACAACCAAAAGAACTTTCATCAATTGATCATGACTTTCGTTTTTGGATGGCAGACAACCCCATTGTTCGACTTGGTCTACGAAATGCTCAGGAATGTGACCACATGAGTTCACCTTTTTGGTTTGACAAACAAAGCCACGTGACCCAAGTCGTTATTAACGTTTGGTGACAAAATCATCTGTCACACATATCTCTGAATTCGCGGTCCACCGTTTTCGGTAGTACGTACTTTAATTTATATTTAATAAATTGTTTACATGTGTGTGTGTTTTAACTAGTTGTATTTTATTTGCTCACTGTGTTGTCTCTTTTATTTTTCCAATTCTACTATGTTTGCCCTTTTTTCTTTATTCCTTAATTGTTCCCATTTGTAATCTTGTGGTGGAGTAATAAATAAATACATTTACTATTGGAAAATTGGGGTGAGTTTTCTAGGCCTGTTTGCATTCACAACTAATTAAGGAACACAAAAAATCTTTTCATCGACCTTAATCTCTTCCATGACAATGCTGACCATTTTCAAATCGCCCAGTTATCAAGCTGGAGACTTTCTCAGTTCAAGAGAACTTGGGTTTATCTGCTTTTTGAAGACAAAAAAAAGAACAAAAGAAACTGTTTTTCCTGAAGGGTTTATATATCTTCAAATGAAACTGCGGCCTTTATTAGGCTTGCTCTTTGTTCGGTAAATATAACCCCTATGTGGAGAGGTGTGTCCTGATATTAAAACAAACATCTACCATTTGATGATGTTAAGGCTGAAAACGGAAGAAAAACAAGGCAAGTCCCAAATCCCCCATCTTCGAAAACAGGGTAAGAACATGACCCTACCTCGATCGCATGTTCGCTCTTGATGCGTTCTAACTCCTCCTTGTGCCTTCGATACATCTGTTCAAATTCATCAAGGAATTCTTTGGCGTCAGAAATATGCTGCATTGTCATGTCGCCAGAGGAAGACGAAAGCAATCGGTCGCTGGTCCTTTTATACAAAATACTGCTCTTAAGGTCATAATTTGTGTCCAACCACGTCTTTTCCATTTCGGACAAGTTTGAGCTTGATGCTGGTTAAAATCCCTAAAAAAAAGGATGAAGGCAAAATCCTCGTATTAAAGCTCAATATGATGCCGTTACTTGCTCCTCTCCGAAGTGTACATGACTCATACCTTTTCCCCCTTTCCACAAATCAAGGGGCATTTCTGGCTCTGAAGTGAGAATTGTTTTGTAGGTATCCAATATAGGTTCCGGAAACAACAGATCTGATATTTGGTCAATGTAAACTTGATGACTGAAGTTTATTTTTTCAATCATGTCAAGAGAGTAGCTACGAAAAAGGATACCCGGCAAATTATCTTTTACAAATTAAGATATATTTTATGTTTAGAACATCTATCAATAGTTTATAACTAAGTTCACAAATCAATGAAATACAAGCCTTTTCGTTTTTTAGTGTCAAGAACTAAATGCCCGGGGCAGGCAGTAAAAGAATCTTTGGGCAGGGGTGTGCAGCCGAACAATCTAATTTCAGCGATAACTAAAGCTAACTAAGCACTGTTAGTTCTCTAGACCACTTCCCCAGGAGTACGTTAAATGTGGATCACTCTTGTTCCACATGCTTTCACATACTCATTTAAAATCCTCGTGATAGATATTACTTACTTTTTATTTGACGTGCGCCCCAGAAAAACGTTGGTCGAGGTTCGGCAACGGATTGGACCGGAAGAAGTCGCAATGAGTCTAACCCTCCGTGCGATGGACAAAATCTCTAAGGCGATGACTGAGTCTTGAAAATATTATAAGCTGTAGACGCAGGGATTGTCTTCTGAAGAAAAAGGAAAAATAGTGGCTGCTGTGTGGATTTGGTCGTTATTGGCAAAGGTTTCTACTGTGTATCATTCATATGAGGCAAGAACGTGACTGCTGGAACAAACTATTCGAAAAGAACAGCACAATTCGCTAAATACAAGCGACTCAGTAAAGTTTGTGAAACCGACATTTTTTAGCTAGAAAAATATTGTTACACAACTGGCAAAACTTCATGCTGAACACTCAATACACGACAAACTTCTGGCAAAGTTTAACCTATATTAGTCGACAATGACAGTCAAGTTATGCGATTCGGTCTTCGGAAAAAGAATCATCCGTACAACCTGATATTGGCAAGTCTCAATTAAAAGCTGACAATCTGTCTTACAAGTAAAAAGAAATTTTTATGAAATTTACAGCGACGGATCAGTGACGGATATACAATATAATGTATAATTTGACTAAAACAATTTAAAGCAGTTTTTCTTTGGTGCCTGTGTGTCGTTTGTACTCTTAATCCGTTAGTTATATTTGCGAAATCTACCCACATTTTCGTACAAATCTCTAGTGTTACGTGGCAACTTTTCATTCAAACACTGGTCCATTGGCATAATTTACGCAAATATGTGAAAGTATATTCCCATAACTTAAGCGTATCCTGACAACACTAATCCCAGTGCTCGCTCGCGTAACACTAGCCGTAATTATGACCAATTACTAGCAAGAGTTCTGTTTCAGGCGTGTGGGTGGGTTTATCCCTCTCGAGAATGGCTTTTTGTGTATAAATAAACACGTGTGCAAGCAACTTTGTCCAGATCGGCTGCAAGGGTGGGAGGATTCGATTCATGCGCCATCGAAGCCCCTTGTGGGGTTGGGCGGTGGGGATGGTCTACACCCGTTTTGCTTCGTGGTTCGTTTCCTTGACCCTCTCTCCCCCTCCCCCCCCTCCCTCCCATTTAATCTCTTATCTCGGTCCAGCTCTATCGCCTTCGCGGACTCGCATGTTCCGTAACTCATCTCTCGAGTCTGCAGGTCTTTATTAACCCTTTCACTGCCAGGGTGTTTGATGGAGTTTTGTGAGGTGACTCGACTAACTTTTGAGTCTATGGACGAAATCCCATGATGTGACCATTCAAAAGAAAGCTCTCTGCCTGTACTTTCACACGATGCTATTTGTTTCTCAAAATTTTAGAAAATGAAATTTGCAAATTTGGCCGAAATTTGCCTTTGGCTACATTTGGCAGTGAAAGGGTTAAGCGAGCGTCTACAGGGAGTCAGATTACTATTACACGCCCTTATTCGCTATGAGGACTGAGAAATTACCTCTGAGAGGGTCCCAATGGGGTGGTGGCTTTTACGGTTATCGGCTAAAATTTTGGCTCTTTTACGGCTATCGGTTAATTTTTTTCAGTTACGGTTAACGAAAAAGTTAAAAATTAACTTCTTTTGTTTCAAAAAGTTAAATATTAATTAACCCGTATTTTTTTGTATCTTTAAATCAAAATAAAGGTCTTCGGATCATCTCGGGATGAAATAAGGTCAATAAGCTATTCTTTTGAAAAAGTTTAATATTTTATATATCAAAAGGTTGAATACTTTTTATAAAGTATTCCACTTCTAATACATTATTTTACACATAGAAATGTCAATAGTCAATTTAAAAATAATCTTCGTGAAAAAGCAAAAGCAGACACGCAAACGCCCAACTCAAGGCCCGGGGCGCGACATTAATTATAACAGAAATGGCCGTTTTCACACTAGAGAAGGATTATTCGTGTGAGACGGGTTATCCGTTTGTTGATTCGCGTCAGATAGGTAATTCGTCTTAATCTGAAAATGGAATAGTTTTAATTTTGAATGAACAATCCGCCTGACTTTTGAAGACGGGACTATCCGCTCCAGATAGCCTGTGTACAGCCGCCCCCTCCCCCGCAGAAAAATCGGAGAAGGGGTGTCTGTGGGGAGGGCGCGACTGTACACAGGCTAGTCTCAGACGGATGATCAATTTCTAGCTCTAGTGTGTGCCTAGGTCTTGGTTAACACCTAAAAGGCGCTTTGCCTAACGTGCGTACGGAGTCACACTAGCCGGGAAGTAAAAAACGTAATCATAAGTATAAGTTTAGCACCTTCCTTAAAAGTAGCAAATCTAGGTAACCATTTCTTTTACGGTTAACTCTTTTTTACCCTATTTACGGCTAACGGTTAAAATTTTTCAATTTTTACGGCTATCGACTAAATTTTTGGCCGTTTTACGCCTATCGGTTAACCCCATTGAGACCCTCCTCTGAATGACAAAATTACAGCTTCGTGTCACAAAAAAATAAACTTTTAAAAACTGTTAGGCTGACAAGTTTACAAAAACCGCAATTGAAATCCTTTTCAATCTGCTCAACTTTCTCCATTCTCGCTTCCCTTAACTTTGTATTTGCCGAGTTATGTGTACCTTCTTGTAAGGTTTTGAGCGATCGTTTTTATGTTTCACTCAATTTGGTGACAGTTCCCATTGTTTGAATTTTGATAAATTTCGTGACACAGCTCTTCAAGTCCAACATTTGATAGAGTCACCAGGATTAGCATAATGTAGTTACAATGGTTTGTTGAACCGAGTTCGCTTTTTAATTTTTTGCGGGTAACGCCCTTTTTTGCGTGCCTCTATGTCTGCAATTCTTACTTCGTAGTTGGGTCCATTTGGAAATTTTTAGGAGCTAATAAGAAGCAAAAAATTAACAACAGTCGCATCTACCCTGATAAATAAAACCGGTCTTTGTGCAAAAGAAAAAGATCAAAACACTTGTCTTGTTACTGACAGTTATAATTATTATTTCCTCTCAGAATCGATTTTATCATAACCTTAAGCAGGCAGGGTCGGGCTCAGGAGGATTGCCAAAATCTACAACATATTTGGGCAGGTCGTTACTGATACCCAGCACACTCAAATTAACAGTCGTTCTGAAGCGCGTGAAGATTTTAAGTGCTATAGGTTGTGAATGAACGTAAACGACTTTTTCCATCTCCATTTGCAAGAACTTGAGAACCGCATCTTATTAAAGTAAACGTGTTTTTTCCTTTATGTGTGTGAGGTGTATTAAATGATGTACTGAGCAGTCTTTGCACTGTACGAATGTCTTCAAGTTAAGACATTATTTATATCAAATACTCTTTCTACTGGCACCTAAAATGAATAGTTTCAGGAAAATTCACTCTTTAAATAAGTTGGAATAAGCCCTCCAAACGCAGGAGCACGCAACTATTGTTTTCGGTAAAATATCTGTTCGAAGAAGCAAATATTGCCTAGAACTTTCTTTTGCTGGAGGACGGCTAAAATTTGTAGATGAACGTTCCATCCATGTAGAATTTTCCAAGCTTATCTAATAAATTCCCTACGAAGTTTCTCAAGTTTAATTTTCATATCTTACTAACCAAGTTACACTATTTTTTGCAGAAAAAGGAAACCTTAAATTTTCGGATTTTGAAATGTGGTGAAGAGAGGAAAAAAAAATTCTCACTTTGGTTAAACGTTAAATTGCACCTAAAATTTTCGGAAAAATGATACAGAAGCCCTTGTAATTTCGAAAAGACTCGAGTTCCAATAGGATAACCGACCCCGAACAGATAATAATTTTGTAGCACCGCTTAGAACACATTTCAAGAGATCTAAAAAGACTCTGGATAGCCTAAAAAGTGTTCTCAACGTATTTTGGAGGAAACCGTCGTTGGGTGCCCCTGCCAACGTAAGCGAATAAGAAGAAAGAACACAAAAAAAACAACAACTGACAAGGTAAAAAGACAAATTTTTCTTACCTTCGAGGCCTGCTCCGATACGTGCGAAGCTAAGATGGCTTGTGATTAGTCTCTTGATGGTGCTGCATTTAATAAAACCAGCAACAGCAATTTCGTAACAATATGTCAAAGTTTTTGGCATCTGAACAGAAGCTTTTGTCATCAGAGAGCTTATGTCGGTTTTAATTATTTATCTTATATTTTATCCGAAACCACAAAACGTAATAATTGTTGGCAACGCCAATTTTAGTAACAAAACCAACAGACTAAAATTCCAATGGATATATATAGCTTTTTTGCTGAGATCACGTTTACGCGGGTGCGGAGAAATTTTAGAACGGATCGACAAAGACTTGCACGGATATCAGCCCTTCTTTGACACGGAGCCCTCGGAACCATGAAAGTTTTTAATAGCGTGACTGTGCTGCAATCTGAAACAGAATTGCACGCGCGGTTCCGTGTAAATAGGTTGTACTGGTAAAACATTCGTCTGTTTAAAAAATTGTAAGGAACCGTGGGAAAACAAATTATTGTTAAGTTTTCTAAAACTTAACAAGGTAAAAATCACGGATAAAAAACGACGTTTCGACCGCTCTTCGGTCATTTTCAAGTATGTAAAAAAAAGTTTAAATAATTAGCATATATATGAGTAAGGTGTAAAAATACGTTAAGATTTATAGAAAATGTTTGAAAATGATAACCAGCAATGTCTTGTTTACAAATTTGAATGTGACCTGTGCGATGCAGGTTATGTTGGGTACACATCTCGCCGCTTACACCAGCGAATTGAGGAACTCAAAGGCGCAAGTTCATCCATCGGCCAGCACTTTCGTGTTAAACATTTTTCAGCACCTAAAGATCTTGAGAAAAATTTTAGCATTTTAAAGAACTGTAAGCAAATTTGACTGCCTAGTGTTTGAAATGCTTTTTATTAATGAACTGAGAGCTAGTCTTCATGTACAATCAGACTCAATTCGTTCAAAAGTTTTTACATAACTCTTTTAATTAGATTCCATTGTTTTTTTTTTCCTGCATGCTTTATTTCATTCTTTTATAATTTTCAAACATTTTTTTATAGTTCTTAACATATTTTTACATCTTACACATATATATGTTAATTCTTTTAACTCAAGTTTTTCTACTTACTTGAAAATGAACGAAGATCCGTCGAAAAGCCTTTTTTTATCCGTTATTCTCAAAAAGCTTCAAATAACACCATGAATGCGATTCAGATGTCTTCAGGTTTAAGACGTGACTTGCGTGTCTTGGCCCTTTTCCCGCTTTCTAGTTTCAAAAACTGTTCGGATCAAATTCTACCCGCGTTCTCTTCTACCTTAACTAGCTCCTGTTAGAACAATCATTATTTCTTGATCTATCCATTGGACTGTCTTTTAAACTTTGCAGGAAAACTTCTAACCTTTGAGATGTTTGCCTCAAGCCATGAGGCCAATTAGGCCAAGAGGTCAAAGCTGTCAAGAAGGCGAAACTTTTCGTCAGCTGATCTGGTACTCAAAATAAGAGTTAACGTGCTGAAGGCTTTATTACTATTGTGGTCTCCTCATACGAATCTTTAGGCTTACTTGGTAAGATGATCATTTGGTCAAAAGTTAATTTTGGGGTTTTAACTGTTTTCTGCGAAGAGAAGCCTGCTTAACAGATAGTTCCTGTTCATGGACTTGAAAATAATCCAATGAATCTTACTGTGGATGCCATAAACCTGAAAACCTGCTAGGTACAAGCAAAGCTCGATCGTAGCCTGCCAGCAGTCTCTTTTTCTTAAGATTTAGTGAGGGGAGTGCACGCGCTCGCAAGCGTCGAGAGACGCGAGACACGAGGGCGGCAGCCCGAGAAGAAAAAATAGAGTCTCTTTTTTTTTTTGGCCTCTCCAGTCTCGCGCCTTCAGTCACGCGCGTGGTCATTTTCGTGTCTCGCGCGTTTTGCTCGATGGACCAAGAAAAAGAGATACTGCTCGTGGTCTAGCTCGATCGTGGAACTCTAAATTAAAACAATGACATTTTACGTCTTGAAAGTATTAGGTATTAGTTCCTCCTTGCACCTACGCCTTAACACCAAATTCTTTATTGTCTTATCGATCGTTAAATTTGCTTCGGGTTAAACTTGCCACTACTAGCTTTGTGGTAAATCGGCTTCAAAATATGTTTTAAAAACTCTCTTTAGTTGAGGATCAATTTGTTTATAGCACGAAGAGACCACAATTTTTAAGTCTGGAGTCGGGACCGCCATTCGAGCGATCCAAGCCGAATGTACCGCCGTTGTACCATCACACCCTAGTTAATTTAAGACCCAGAGTATTGGTCCGGCCCGGTGATCGAACCTTCGACCTCCCGCTCTGCAGGAAAGCGCATTACCGACTTAGCTTATCCTGCGGCGTCTAGTGAAACACTTTGTAAGCTATGTTACAGCGGATGTTAGACACTAAGTCATTTGAGACTCGGACGGTTGCCTTTTAGTTACAAGATAATAGAATGTTAGCTGCTATATCATTCACGGCTGCAAATGGCCGTCATGGCCCAGGACTCGACCGAGGTGCGCAGCGCACCACAACGTATTCTACGATCCTCCAAGGAAGTTAATCTTGTCAGGTGCTTCACCACCAAGACTTTGCTGCCAAACTTTTCAATAATCTGCCAGAGGCGTTAAAAAAGGTACAGTCCATTCAAATGGAAATGCAAAAGCACTTATTTCTCTCAGGCCAAGGTGGACTTGAACGTCATTTAGCTATTGAATATAGCTTTCGACTTCCTTCCGTAGTTTGTAAATATATGTACCTCGGTAGTTTACTGCATATATTAACTCAATTTTACCATAATTTTATTATTAGCAGTAGTAGTAGTAGCAGCAGCACCAGCAGCAGTAGCAGTAGTAGTAGTAGCATAGCAGTCAGCTGAGTAGTGGTAGTAGTAGTATTAGTAGTAGGATAGGAGGCAATTTTCCTTTGAAGCATTTTAATTGAAAAAAAAATACAAAGCAAGCCACATATTGAAAAAACCGACATGCGAAACGCCAAAAAATGCATGAATGCAAGAAATATATTATTAATATAGTGTCTATCTTTCTAAATTCTTGTCAAGCGTGAAGCATTGATGTTTTTGCGTCCAGATAATCAAGATGTTTCCTGAGGGGAAGTCATAGGACATGAAAGGACGCGTCTAGACAAGAGGAAAACCAAACCGCCTTCCTTGAGGTGCTGAGTGTTAGCAAAAGTTTGGACCCCTCCAATAAAAATTTGATTTCCCCGATCGGGGGGGTACTCCCATACATTACCTATACGGGTATGTGCCGCCCAACGGGGTCGTGATTTTGAAGCTCCTGATTTAGAACGGGGTATCCAATTCAGAGGCATTTTCCAGAACGGGGTATAATATTTCGAACGCACTAAAGCTCCAGTTTTGTAAGCAGCCATTTGAAATTATTCAGGGACAGATTGCTTTTAAAAATACGGTTCAATGGGTTAACAAGCAAACTGTTGTACTCTTGTTGCACCCTGTGTTTTAGCGTGCAGGGCGGGTGTATTTTGGCGTGAGCCGCGAGCGCTGACTCCGCCGTCTTGGATAAATAGGCGTGCAGAAGTCTGGAATGACTCCATAATGTACGGAACGGAGTATAAAGAATTGGCCCATTTCTAGAACGGGGTGTCAGATTTTTAGGGCGAATTCTAGAACGGGCTACAAAAAATTGGCCTATTTCTAGGACAGGGTATCAATTTTAGTGGGTTTTTTTTTAGAACGGGGTGCTTATTTGGAGTCTCGGGTGGCACATACCCACCCGAAAATACCCAAGTGCCCCCCCCCCCCGGGCCTGGATCCGCCCCTAAAACTATATGAAGTGGCGTACATCAATGGGCCACAGATTTGGCATGTTGATCTTTGTTTGTCGAAACTGTCAGTTATATTCGCTGTGAGGAAGGGTATCGCTCTAAAAGTCGACTGGCTTTCCAGCGGTTAGTTCAAATTTTTCGGTTTTACAGCCTCAACGATGCAACATCCCAGTTTCCCTTCATAACAAAAAGGTTGAATAGCATAATTTTGACGCTTTCTGTAGAAGGGAGTGACATCATAAGCTTGCTAATGATACTCTAATTCCGGCTCACTTCCTTTGACAATTTTGGCCGTTTAACGCTTATTGACAACCCGAGTACAAACAAACCGAGTCCAAACTCATCTAAGACTTATAGACATTCAGATACACACTGTTTTCCATTTTAATGCATTTTATTTAACTTTCCCTGTCAGGTTTTAATCAGCAAGCAAGAAGCAAACTAAACTAAGGCATCTATGTCTTCTTCATGATTAGCTGCTTTATGGAGACACCACGTGGTTCTGTAGCTACTGGGGTGGTGGTACCTCCTCAATGAGGATGCGGCTGGTGGAGATGTACCCAGCGTAGGCATCAGAACCGCTCTTGTAACCATAACCGCAGTCTCCCACCGCCAAACCAACTCGCACGGTTCCTTTGGCAATCCCCTCACAGTATCCTCCAATCTGACTGTGCTTGTGAATGTTGAGATCTTTGTTATTCTGGTGTGAATCATAAATAACATCAACTGCATCGATTTTGTTTGGTTTGGAACATTCAGCGCCATTGAAAGTGAAAAACCAACGCTTGCAACACCGCTCGCAGTACGCCACTCTGAAATCGCCATCAAACTCGACCTTCAAAGCTGTATTATCGGCTTTCTTGACAAAATGGCAGTCCTTCAAGAATAACAAGAAAAATTAGGATGCTGAATATGAGAAATGCTATCAGATTTTATGACCGTGTTCTGATTATGAAAGTTATAATTTTCGCCGTTTTAAAGATTTAGATAAAATGTAACGATTCAATGGATTGATGATGGTTTGACGATGATGATCAGATGACAATGATGATTGCAGCTAAGGGCCTGGGTTAACAGCAATTTTTTAACCACCGTCCAGACATAATTCGCCGTGTTTTTATTGGCATACACTCTCTTGGTTTATTTATTTATTTATTTTACATGTCTAAATCTTACTAAAAAAGAGTAGCGCCAAAAGGAATTTGTAGCAGTTATCCACCGTGAAATATAAATTATAATTATTATCAGACAGATTAGAGAGAAAAATGTCTTGGATGCAGTCAATTTGACAGTATAGTAGCCTACCTAAGGTTAGCTTTTACCTTTATCAAGCCACTGTCCCTCCCATCATTCAAAGGTTTCCACGAGCACTGTTTCCAGTTTCTTTGAGGAACAATACCAGAGGGGCCTTGATCGCCTTTATCTCCTTGAGAGCCTTTTACTCCAGTCGTACCAGGAGGCCCCTTGAGACCATTCTTTCCAGGGGTTCCCACAGGTCCTTGCTTTCCCTGATCGCCTTTGTCCCCCTGAGGTCCTTTTCCTCCAGCCTTCCCTGGAGGTCCCATGGGACCCTTTTTTCCAGGTGCTCCCACATATCCTTTCTCTCCTCTAGCCCCATCTTTCCCATTGAGACCGGGAACACCTGGGACCCCTGGTACTCCACAGCACATGTGGCTTGGATGTTGTGTCTTCAAAGCAATTTATATACATACAATTAAGTCACTTACGATTTATTGGGTTTCCTGTGGTCCCTTTGGTGTCCTGTCGCTAATTAGGGACGGACCATTAGAAAACTTATCGGGGGGGGGCGGGCGAAGTACAAAAAAAAATACCCCCCCCCCCCATAACTTTTCTAATGGTCCGTCCCTTAAGCGTTATAGGATGGATTTTTGTTTGATAGGGTGACTTAAGCAAATATGTCCAGAGGTGTCATCGTAACTTCCTTTCAAATTGTAACACACCTATTGCGTCATTCTAATTGCACGGCTAAGTTTCGCCAGGACTGGTTTTGCACATTGTGGCGTGCGCAAGCGTGCCCAGTTTCAAATTATTTTCGTATGACTGTAAACTGACCAATAAAGATCCAAATCACTTTCAAAGAACCCATGATTGTAAGACTTCCTTGTTGTCCTTTTCCCAGGACTATCAAAATACCCAAGAAAAGTCAAAATGATCTATACTACGAACCAGGAGCCGAACGCTTTTTAACTTTATCAGTGCTAAAGCAGTATGAATCAGAGTATAACATTTCCTCTGGTTAAAACGGGATTACAAAGAAACTTGTAAAAAGCAGTAAAAACTACAAAGAAGCGAGAATTAAGGAAAATCACCCAAAATATTTTAGCGAAAGTTTCTTTTCACACATTATTAGCCATTTCTTGTCAAATATGATAAGACTACTTTGCTGAAAGTCGGTTTAAATTGTTGAGCGAGAGAAATGCAGGCAAAAATAAGGAAAAAACTTTAACTTTCGCATTATTCGCGCATTCATTCGCTGCACTGTCGAACGTTAAAATGTACATGTACAGTAACACTTACCGACTGATTGGCGGAAAACGTCAAGTGTGGGATCATGCACACTGCCGCAAGCCAACCGATCACGAAACAAAATCTCATTTTTGCAGATTCACTTGAAAATAAGAAAAACAACAATAATCGTTAATCTTGGTGACAAACTTTAACGCTTTGAGTAGAGCGATTGATGCTCACAGTCAAAGTATATGCTCAAGCAGTCTACTTCTGTGTTCCGAATTCACTTATTTTAGAGTCTACAAAGGTGATGCCTGTTTTGACTTCATCTGTGTTCCAAAATGAACTGAGAGACTACGCGCCCCTTAAGCTTGATTTTTTTTAGTGAAATATCGCAGCGAGATGCATCCTATTGAAATAAGAGGCGGAAGCTGAAGAAAAGTTACCTTGAAATTTAGACTTTGGGATAAAAAAAGCCCACGACCTCGAAGAGCATTGATATCCCTAAAACTGAAAGTCAATTTATACTATACTGTTACGTCGTGTGTGCGAACCGAGAGTCAAAGTTTACTTTCCCAACTGTTTTCTTGTAAGATCTCGTTTTTATCCTAACATTTCATTGGCCGGTAAAATACACTATTTACTTCCTTAATGTTGCGTTCTTATGGTAATAATTTGACAATTAATTAGTCAGAAAATTAAGATATTTTTGCCCGGGCCCCTTGTTGAATTGCAGCAAGGGTTCGTGGACTTCATGGATATATAAGAAGAAATACTTCTCAGGGGCGGATCTAGGGGGAGGGTGCAGGGGGTGCGCACCCCCCCCCCCCCCCCCCCCCCCCCCCCCCCCCATACTTCCTTAATGTTTGGTTCTTATTGTAAAAATTTGAAAATTAATTAGTCAAAAAATTAAAATTTTTTTGCCCGGGCCCCTTGTTGAATTGCAGGAAGGGTTCGGGGACTTCATGGAAATAAAAAAAGAAATACTTCTCAGGGGGGGATCTAGGGGGGGGGTGCAGGGGGGGCGCCCCCCCCCCCCCCCCACTGAGATGACCTGCGGTTTTCTAATACAACTGGTATTCTGCAAGAAAAAAAAACTGTGGTTTATTGGTGTTGAAGTAGAGCAACAGACGAGTGTACCCCCTCCTAAAAAAAATCCTGGATCCGCCCCTGCTTCTGCATGAGATTCATTTGATTTTTTCTGATAGTAGGACAATAGACTGAGAGATTAAGAACTTGAATACAAAACTTGTCACTACGATTTGTTTGGCGAATGTAAACCCTTTTTAAAAAAAGCCTTAAAATAAAAGAAAAGTCAAGCGCATGGAATAATGTCAGAATAATTCCTTAACGACCCTGTTAGAACGATAAACTTTCGCCACATCAATAAACACTGGGTAATTCCGCCTAAGGAGCTGGCCGATCACCTCATCGGCGGCACCGAGTTGGCCCGACCGCCACAAAGCGGGGGAACATAAAAAGTCAAAAACTGCACGCAACATTGCCTTGCAAGGGCAAACAATCGCACCGACTATTATTCAAAGTCGAGGTGCTGTGATAAATTGAACCTTGGATTTCTGTAAATTGGCGACTTGCAGCAAATGAGCCCACGTTTCTGGATGAGAACCAAGCAATAGTTGGGGAAGACAGATTTGTGTAAGGTTGCCGTATAAAAGTTCAAACAGTCAAAACAGACTTATCATCCTAAAGAAGCCTTAAGTAAAGAAAATAAGACTAAGTGGAGTACCATTCAGGGACTACTGATCGAAAGAGTAATCTCAAATCAACTTGAAAACGATTTGAAATTGCGAGCTTCATTACCCTGAAAAAAATGTATGACACGAACTTCTATAACAAAGTGCGAGAACGATCTCTGACCATCTCTGTTCTAAATTTACATCAGTTTACAGCTTCCAAAGCAAACATTTGGCTTATGTTGAACTTTTGCAGAAACTGTGGTGACCCCTTGCTCACAGAAGGAAAATGGACAGAATGAACTTTGCGACTGATTGAAAAGTCGGTCTATGTGGGTGCTTCAATCTGCCGCCCGGCTGTTTTCACAAGAGTACGGTGAAACACTGCAATGACTCATAAACTTTTCTTATTTTTTATTAATCAGCGTTTTATTCACAATCAAACGTGATCCAAACTGATTACAATCTGCGAATTTAGATCAGAGGAAATAGCTGATGGGGCTGCGTAGCTGGCTGCGTAGCTATTGTGGTGGCGGCACTTCCTCGATCATGATACGGCTGATGCAATTCCATCCGGTGTATGCGTTGCCACCCGTCCATCCGCCATTGCAGTCACCGACCACCAATCCAACGCGAATAGTTCCTTTGCCAAAACCCTCACAGTATCCTCCAATCTGACTGTGCTTGTGAATGTTGGTGTCGGTTCTACCGTGGTTTTGATGAATCACATCAATACCCTCGATAGTAGCTGGTATGGAACATTCAATTCCATTAAAGGTAAAATACCAACGCTTGCAGCAAGACTTGCAAAAGCCGACCCTGAAATCACCATCAAATTCGACCTTTGAAGCTGTCTCATCTGCCTTTTTGACAAAGACGCAATCCTCAGGAGAAAAAAGGTTAAGAAAAAGGATTAAAATCATGACAACGTAAAGGTTACTAAGCAACGGCTGAGGGAGGGGACGCATGAAACATTAGGTACTAATTCTAGATAAAAAGACTGAAGAAAAGAGGAAAACTGGAAGCTGATGACTGACCACAGAATCACCTACATGTGAAGAAGATTTTAATGATGATGATGATGCACGACATCACGGTTTTTTTGTTTCGTTTTTGTTGACATCTCAATTAATTTTAGTAGTGTGAATGAAAATACCAACATCGGGAGCAAAACAAGAAAATCGTTCCTTTACTGCCTACCTTGATGAGACCAAAATCTCTATCATCATTAAGTTTCTTCCAGGCACACTGTTTCCAGTTTCTTTCAGGAACAACGCCAGGTGCAGCTTTTTCGCCCTTGTCCCCCTTGGCTCCAGTTTTGCCAGAAGGTCCCATAGGGCCTGGAAGACTCTTTTTCCCATGTGCTCCCGCTGGGCCTTGCTCTCCTTTAGCCCCATCTCTTCCGTTAAGACCGGGGACACCGGGGACTCCGGGTACCCCACTGCAGGTTTGGCTTAATGGGTGTTTCGTCTTTGAAGCAAAATACATTCTGGTCAACTACAATTATTATTTATTCCAGAATTGATTTGTTCGTTCGTCATATAAATTCTTGCTGTTTGACCCGTATTGTCGTTGCCATATTTAGTAAATAAAAGTTTGTATCAGCCAAATATCTAGGTCTATCTACTGTAGAAATAAGAGATACTACACCAAAAATACACCCGTAAGTAGCGTTTACAGACGCCCCCTGCCCTCAAAATTGAGGAGCCTATGCTCGTCTCCTGCAAAATTTTATTTGAAAATAGGCTATTTTTAAGTAAGGCGTAATCACAATGATCTCCAAACTAGGTGAGGCGTTAGAATGTGCGTATAATGATCTTTTACTTTTGCCCCGTAGTGCTTTTAGATCTCCTTAGTTTTTTATCAAAATATCCACGATTTCAATATTCTGCACTCCTTTTGGCACATTTTTCATAGCATTTAATAGGATTCGGTGATCTATACTTAAACTTTATCCTCAAATGCTTCAAGTGAATGTATAAAAACATTGTGTTATGGCGTTTCCTTGTATACAGAAGCATACACTGAGAAAAAGAGACTGCGGGAATACGCCGTCTACTTGCTTAGAGTTTGGCTCTAGTTTCAGTCATTTTAGGTATTTTTGTGGCAGTGAGATTCTGATAAAAAAGCCTTTTACGTTCGCACTGTTCGCTGCAAAGCACAAAAAGTTTTAAACTATTTTAAGATAGAAGGTACAAAGCAGCGTTAGTAAAACTTACCGACTGTTTGGCGGAAAAGACCAAATGTGGCTTGCACAAAACAAGGACAACAAGCCAACTGATGGCGAAATACGAACTCATTTCTGAAAATCGGCTAAAATATATTACACATACAAAAAAAAAATAGTCGTTAATCTTCGTAAGACGCAGTATGAACATACTTTGGACAGAGCTATTGATTCTATTTCCATCGAATGAAGCAATTTACTGTCTGTTATTGTGCCATCCAATCAGGAGCCTTTTATCTAGTCCTCCTGATCCGATATATCACCACGTGACGATGTCTAGGAAAGTGAAACACTTACGCAAAGAATTCTGATTTTGTTGAAAAAATATATATGTCCAGAGGGAAATAACTTCAGTTTGCAAATTACCAAGTCGTTGTCCACTGAAGTCTATCTCGTTTAAAAATCTGGTTTTTGTTCGAATTTCTCATTGGCCAGAAATATTAGACAACACCAGAGCACTCTTCCCCAGTCTTTCCACTTCTAGGTTGCCTCGCGGTTACTCGCAACAAGGGGAATGTATGGCCATAATGGCGGCCACATCACGCTCGGGAATGTTAGAAATTTTCACGAAAGATGGGTGGAAACGAGTACTGGCCACTCTTGATGACGATGTTTTAACTCTTAATGTAGAAGATAACTCTGCAGTGAATGGCCAGCCGGCTTCCCCTAGCCCGCCGCGTTCACCAGAAGCGAACGACCATGTGGAACCGCCACAAACGATCGCGGACCAAATACGTACCGTGCGTGTGATAAAGCAAGAAGTCGGTGGTTTAGGCATCAGTATCAAAGGTGGTAAGGAGAACAAGATGCCTATACTCATTTCTAAGATTTTCAAAGGGCTAGCTGCAGATCAAACGGAGAGTTTGTACATAGGAGATGCTATTTTGGCAGTAAATGGCGAAGACCTTCGCAATGCTACTCACGACGAAGCCGTCAGGGCGCTGAAACGCGCCGGCAAAGAGGTCGATTTGACTGTGAAATACGTTAAAGAAGTTACGCCTTATTTCCATCGTACAGCTGAATCAAACGCAAGTGGTGCTGCAAATGGTAGTGCTAACAGTGATCAAGGAGGAAGCAAAGCGAATTGCATCGAAGTGAAGAAAATTCCCCTCAAGTTGTGCTTCGTTACTAAACACGTTTCGCCGAAGGTGGAAAGTCCTGGAAGAACTTTCGAGCTTTATAATCCTGATGGCAGATCGGCTTGTATTTTGCGAGGAAAAGATGGATCGTCGGCCAATCAATGGTTTATTGATATTCATACAAATATCACACGGTTGATTACATCAGGTATGTTGTGTATCGTATCATGCGATTTCACGACTCAACAATTTGCGCCATAAAATTGGGCGTCGAAGTCGGAAATATCATTCGCGATTTTTTTTACAAACGATCTCAATCTTCTCGATCATCGGATTTAGGGCTTAACTCTTCACTTATCTTCCAGAGGCGGGGTGAATTAACTAATTCGTAGTTTTTATTCGGCAGTTATGGCGAATCGTGTTATTTTGCATCTGCATGCTTGAAATTGCGAACTCTTAAAAACACTAACTAAATTTTCCCTTAACGCGGCTTATTTCTTATATTCCTGATCTGTTAAGTGCTTGTTACTTGAAAAAATAAATCGAGGGTTTTAACAAGCGTTTTTCAATCACCCTTCTTTCTTTGTAAATAAAGTTCGGGCGAACAGCTGGGAGAATTTTTTGGAAATTCAATTATTATGGCACTTTTGAGTGGAGAGCATTGTTCGCACCTTCCTGTTTACTGTTCCTGTGATTCATAGACAGTCAAAACATTCCTGTCAGTGTTAATGGCTTGTTTACTGAACAAAGACAAAAAATTAAGATGATATATTTTGTCAAGCGCTCTGTTTTAGCTGTATTTAAGATTTCATGCTTATCTCTTCAAAAAATATGACCCGTATTTTCAAGAAACGAAAACTTGTTGAAGTGGTCGAAATACATTTCTGATTCGAGCTTACAAAATGTAAATGTTCAAAATTTTTCCTATAAAACAAAGTATCTGTTTTTGTCTCTGTATGTGGATATCCAAGCCTGTATCTAAGTTTAGTTTTCTTGGTTTAAGTTTGCAGCAAGACTTTTCGAGCTGAATAATTTGCCCTACGCATTCATTATTCAGAAGATTAAAACTGATATTTAATAAATCAACCGTAGCATTTCTTTAAGAAATCAATGAACATGAAGTAGCATATAGTGAAACTCGGATACAAATTGCTGGTACATGACTTTGAGGTCCTTTTGTGGCGTAAAGAATAAATTCTCAGTTTTACCATATATAGTCTCCACTGAAAGGGCATTTGAGGAGGGGGCTTTTAACTGAGGCTATTTATTATTCCTTGAGACGTAATGGGCTATTGACTCAGAGGCCGTGAGGGCGAGAGGAATAACTGTTTTAGTAAAATCCAACCAGTTGGTCAAAAATATCGAGACAAAACAACTTTAGCTTGTTAAATCTGGACTTTAACCCTTTTTTGCCGCCAAAAATCCGGCACTTTTCGCTACTAGTGGGCTATAACATATAGCCTAGTAGTAGCTTAATCAATCAGAACACAGCATTGATAATAGACCACTTGTTGGATTTTACTAAAATCACATAGCCAGCACTGGACTAAGTTTTGACTGGCTGAAAATTTGTTCCTCATAATGCGCTGTTCACACAGAACCACCTTTTCAACCAACGTTTCAGGATTTTGGGTTTTTCTGCAACATCCAGCGAACTGTTACCGTAGCATCCACTGTAATAACGAGCAATAACAGCAATAATGAACAGAAGCTGACAAAAAAATGTGTTAGTGGCAATGTACCGATTCATTTTCACCCTTCCATCTCTGTGTTTCACTTGGATTTGGAAGCTCCATAGGAACACTTGAAACTTGCCATGTTTCAGTCTGTAAGAAGATAAAAAACTTAGAGCTATAAAGGTAAAACTTACTGCGCTTTTCAAAAATATGCGACCAAACTTTGACATTCAAAAGCAATGAACCTTGAAACACAAAAAAACGGATCAAAATCCACCCATCACAAATCGCAAACCATGACCTGACATTATAATGGACATAATTTATAATTCTCATAACCTTTAATTCCTTTGATGATGTATTGATGTTGTTAGAATAAATTATATGTTGGTCTCTCGTAGGAATTAAAGGGTTAATAATATTGAGAGATGAAGTTAACTTTGGTTTTCCAAGTTAATGTAATTTGTTTTCTGTAAAATTAATTTCTAGAACTTTTCTGGAATATTATTGTCTGTGTCCTAACTCTTTTTTTATTTTTGCTTCTAGCCATTGAAGAAGTTAATGACATGCTTAGTTCAGATTCCGGTTATCGTGAAGTACAGGCCATGGGATGGCTTAGTGAACAAGTTCATCTTGGTGGAGACAGTTCGCACACAGACTGGAAACCTGTATTTCTTGCTCTTACTGAGAAAGACATGCTATTATACGTGGCAGCTCCGTGGTCACGCGACGACTGGAGTGCTCCTGTTACTAGCCATCCCTTGTTAGCAACAAGGTGAGTTACAATATTGTACACTAAAGTGCAGTGATAAAGATATTATAGTGGATTGGGAAAATGTGATAATCAGCATGTCACTAGCATGGGTCAAAGAAAAAATCTTGATTTCTCGACAGGATGTAAAAAAAATTCACCAACTTTCTTTATTTCATGTAAAATGCTCTCAGCACTGCTGAACCTAGCAGTATGCAGCATGCAGCATGCACCATGCATGTCAAATATTAACTTAGAATATAGACTTCCTCTCTAGGAGTCTTTATTTAATGGTGCTTGAGAGGTTGCACGTTTGAATCCTGTCGGGACACAAGATATTTTCCTTGCCCCACGCTCATGACAAGCTTGCAATTCCCATTCAACAAGCTCAAAATTCAACATCTCTTGTTTCATTTTAATAGATTGTTACATATATAAGTATTATGGTTATAAATTATTAATATTATCTGTTAGGTTACTGAAAATGAGACAGCATAATTATATGGTGATTATATAGGTGAAATTTTAGTCAAAACAACTATGCCTGATGAGGCAAAACATTCAATTGTTTTCTTTGACTGATATGGTGGAATATTTAATCACTAGTGTATTCCTTTCCTGCTGAGCTAGAGTATAGGCTCTGAGTTAAATAAGTGCAGCCCAGTCACAATGAGCCAGCAGCCACCAATTTTGCTGCCTGCTCAAACCTTAAAGATTTAATAATATGAAATGTAATAGCTGGTCAAAATTAAGTTCTGGTTGAATTTGTTAACATGTGTTGCTTCTCAATTTCCTTTATCTCCTAGTCCTAATTCATGAACAACTATGACTAGGAAAAGGAAATTGAGAATCAACCCATGTTAACAAATTATAACCTGATTTTTATCAGGGTTCTTGATAGGATTTAAAGTATACGTCTGCCGAACCTTACGTAGGCAGCTGTGACAAACAGAGGGGCCATAGACTAGGGAAGGAAAAGCAGCAAAAAGAGTGCAAAGTAAGCGGCTACAAATTCTAAAGTAGGCAGATGCTGGCTTCTGTTGAGAGCCGTGTTTATTTCGAGCTACAACACATTTAAGTTGGCCATAATGACTATTTTTAAACTTAGTGTGAGTGGCAAACTTTTTCCATTTTTTTTTTCAATTAAAATGCTTACATCTAGACAAACTGTCATATCAAAATTTTACTTTTGCAGACTTGTTCATTCTGGGCAAGGCAGTACTCACATTCATCAAGAGGACCTGACATTTGGAACTCGTACTGGTACAAGAAAAGGAGTAGAGGCGCATATGTTTAGAGTGGAAACTCCAAGAGAGTTAGCTAACTGGTCACGCAGTTTGGTGCAGGGAGCCCATGATGCTGCTACACTGATTAAAGAAATAAACTGTGGTAAGAGCTTTACCACTAATAACTGGTGTTACAGGTTATGAACCTTAACAACAGCTCTGGCACTGGTGCCTTTTTTTGTTAAACATATGACAGTAATAGTACATAAAAATGTGCAGCAAGGCTGTGACTCAGCAAAACCTGGTGGCCTCTGTTGACTTTTTTTTGTCTTTTGACACCAAGGAAGTCTTATTTTTGCACAAAACTTAGGTTCCAAGCACCCTAAACTTGTTATGTTCAGCGCTTCTTGGCTCCCTTACAACCTTCCCAAGAGCACAACCTTTGAACAATCAATTGTGTCCATCTAAGAAAGGTGTTTGCCTTATCAAGAGTCAAAGAAAATAATGAAGAATGACAGAGACCATGTCTAGTCAGGGTTTTCACTAAGAATACTAGTAGCAGGAGAAAGGTGTAACGTTACAGGAGAATATTTTGAAAGAGGCTTCATGTCTGAATTTAAGATAGTCATAGGCTACTGAAGATTTGCTGGAGAATTTTGCATGGTTAACAGAGAATTCTCTGATCTCCGATGCCTGATGAACAGCCTGTCTAGTCCATTAACCCTTTAAGCCGTAATATCCACATAACAAATTCTCCAAACTGATCTCCATACATTTTCTCAAAGAATTAGGTGAGAAGATTTGACAAAAGATTAAAATGTTTTCCCTTCGTTGATAGTTTTAATAATTTTTTATAACCTTTTATCTTGTTTTTGTAAACTGATGTTGTCAGGAGAAAGTTGACGTTGGTCACTCTTGGGACCTAAAAGGTTTACTTAAGAGAGAGAAGATGCTGATATTTAAAAAAAGCAATTTGGACATTTTATAGTTGGATTTTTTTTGTCAACAGCTGTAACTTGGAGAGACCAAGATGCTCGTCTTACTGTTCACTATGAAAATGGATTCACTCTGACTGATGCTCGTAATGAAGGCAATGGGCGATCACAGGTCTTGTGGTACTTCCCATTTGAAAAACTGAAACGCTCAGCTGATGACGGACAAAGAATGCTGTGGTTAGAATTTGGAGCTGATGAGTCAGACCAGGTAATGAAGTACAATGTAGCTGATGACAGTTGTTTTAGCTACAGTATTACTAATCATTTTCAAGGCATGTGAAAAAAAAAAAAGAATAAAATGATGAAAAGATTATTCCTAGCCTGGAAAAGGTACTAACGAGCAAAAATGAAATTTTAGCTCAATAAAATGGTTTTGATGTCACTTAAAAGTCATGGATTTTTTTGTTTTTAAGAACAGCAATCCCAGGGATAAGCATACTACATATTTTACAAATTTCAGGGCGTAATAAACTATGAGTTCTCTGCTACTCATTACAGTCTGCGATATTTCTGTATGACTCTTGCTGTTTCTCTCCCAAGAATCATCCTTCCTGAATTTAATCTCACAAAATGTCTTTCTCTACAGGAATTGGATCTAGAGTTGGATCTTCATGGCTGCCCCAAACCAGTAGTGTTTGTTATGCACACTTTCTTGTCAGCAAAAACAACTCGCCTTGGTCTCTTCGCTTGAGTGGCACAGTGAGAACAATACTATGGCTAATGTTTCATCCTTGTACTCTTAATAACAATTTTATTAGTGCTTCCAATTAGCATTAAGTTATCTTTTTATCTTATTGCTTATTATAATGTAATAGAACCCTGATGTTTCCCCGGGATCGAGGGAGAAGTTGGGGTGGGGGGCTACTCAACAGAGTTTCATAAAGGGAGGCTCTTCCCTGAGGTCCTCAACTCCTCACCCTTTTGTATACCATTTTTTTACATCCTTCTTAGGTCCTTTGACAGACCAAAACGACAGATCTCCCTACCCTTTCATATACATCAGCCATTGAAATCTTTACCCTTTTAAGGTGATGTTAAACAAGACAATTCACAACCACAATTTTTAGTGCAACACAGTGACATTGTTGTGACATTGTTTGGAATGGTTACAACATTGCTTCAGTATTGCAATGCTGTGTTGCCCTAAAAATTGCTGTTGCAAATAGTCCTGTGTAGCATCACCTTTATAAAGCTGAAGCCTGAAAAAGGTACGCCTTATGGACAGAGCCCCCTTGTTAAGGCCATAAAAGGGAGGACCCTCCCCCCGCCCCCTGCCCCTTATCCATTTAGTCATCTCAGGTATAACTTACTGATTCCCCACTGCTGACTGGTGTTGTTGTTGTGGAATTTTTATTTCTTGGAAATTGACAGACCGCAAGCACTACCGAAATCAATAAACTGTTAGCACTGTGAAAAAATTGGTTGTTTGCACTTGCATATTCTAATAGCTCACATGACCATCTGTCATGACACTTTCCCCAATTAAGGAAGGCAATTTCAATGACTCAAATGTTTTGCAGTTGAAATGACTATGAATGCTTTAGGTAGCACTTTTTTGCATGGCAAATCAATAAATTGGACAAGATGCAAGGTAACTGATTATTGATGATATTTTGAGTAGAGAGAAGGTGGAGATGTTTCTGGAGAATTCTACTGTAGCAGTTAAAAACAAGGGCATTCAAACCATGAACCATCATTATTGCTTCTGTAAAAAGGAAGGAATGCCACGTGACCAACATGGCACTTGCCAATGGAATTGTCATGTGAGCTGTTAAAAAATTCAAATTGTATGATTGGTTTTTGGGGGATGCTAACAGTTTAGTGATTTCAATAGTAATGCCAAAGCTTAGATGGCCCTGCCCTGAGATGGTCTGAAGGTATTTAACCCTCCCAAAAAATCGAGCATCTTCTTCAGTGAAGATTTCCTTTTTTACCATGAAAACAATTCAAAATCATTCTTGACTCTCAAGCTAGCAAATTAAAACCCACATGTAATACGAAAACAAAACAAAACATTTCCCCAAAAAGTTTGTAAATGCCCCCCCTGGTTAAAGCCGCCCTGTTGGTTTGGCTTTATTATTTGCTTACTTGGTAAAAAATAGCTGAAAGTCATCATGAAAAGCTAAACCTAATAAGTTTACTTTTCAATCTTTTGCATCCCTAACCACTTTATCATTCACAAAAACTAGTTTAAAAGTCAGTTTAAAAAGCTTGTTGAAGTGCTGGAAATTTACAAGGAGCATTCTTGGAATTTTATACATTGGATTTTGATATTAAGAAGTTGTCATTTGCAAGGTTTTGCAAGGAAAGGTTTTGTTCTTTGTAAAGATATTTCCACAATAATAATGACAGGATAGACAGATTGACTTCAGATGGTATTTTTATCGTAAGACATAAGTAAGTAGATATTACATTTTATATTTGTAGTCGTTATATTGATTGTAAATTATTCTTCATTGAATTTAATGGGACTGTGATCTTGCATCATATAAAAATATGCTTAATTTCAATAAAATTACTAGCCTACATGCAGATGTCTCCTAATAGACCATTTCCGAGTTTCCCTGGGCGTCTGTATCAAAATGAGGTTAAGTGCTCAGCCTTTGATATGCAAATGAGTTTCCATTCTCATGCCAAAAACTCATTTTCACAAGGAAGGTTGTGCAGCTTGCCTTATTTTGAAAGTGAGGGTTTTTGGAACTCGGAAGTGCCCTATTCCTTCGTTGCACGCGGAGAAGGGACACCAAAGAAATAGAGGTGTCGGCACACAGGCCAAAAAATGTTACATTTTATTATTTTGCAACTTAGACATACAGTGCAAGATTTTTCCTTGATATTACAGCGATTTTCGTATGACCTTGAAATGAAAACGCGAGAACAAAACAGAAACAACAAACGAACAGAAATAGAGCGATTTGATTGGTCTATCAAACGGATACAAACGCGCGTGGCTTTTGGTTGGTTGAGCGAACGCTCGCGTAAAAAACTTTCTAGAACTCAACCAATACTTCGCGTTGACGTCATACTGCAACACGATTAGCTAATTGAACAATGCCTTCTCAATATTAGGGTTTCTTTGGCGGGAAAACGAAGAGGCCATGTTTTGATCTTTTCATCCATTGGGTGATAAAACAAATAACGAACAAGGTCATACGAAAATTGCTCTGTTGTGTGTTGAGAGAAAGCGTTGGGCCTCACCAGGTCATGTACATTAATTTTATACCCCTTTGAGTACTTTCAAGGGTGATTTAAACTCACTTCCTTAAAATATTAAATAAAATCCATTAGGTACAGTTATGATTCTTTTGTGTGTTGTACTTAATATACATTTTCATCCAAATTATTTTCTGTCTTGCTGAAGTCAAGTTAAAATTGGCATGGACATTGTGACTTCCACATTGTAGTAAGTACATTTGTTTTGCCAAAGCTATTTGAAAAAAATATTGAATTGATAACCATCTCAGTCAACCTCATTTTACTTTATTGAATAGTTTTGGATTTAAGGAGAACCTTAACTGTCTAAAATGAGATTTTTTCTTATTAAATTATAGTTTAAGTAGAACATTAGTCAAGAGAACAGTAGTTAAAAGTCATAAATATCGTGATAGAAGTGTGTCAATAATTGCTAAAATTGGTTTGATATGATTCGACGTTGCCACGCTATCTTAACTCTTAAAAATAAAGTATTTTTAGAAATTGTTTTGTGGTATGTTTTGTGTTTGAACTGTGAAGAAAAATGCGTAACCACATAGCCACCCATGTGCAAAATACCCACTGTTTGTGTGGTTGTTACCGCAAACAGAACATCAGTCTTAGCCTGCAAGCGCCAAACGTTTCTCCTCGCTCATCGCCGCTGAGGGACGTCCGTCAGCGGCGGTGAGCGAGGAGAAACGTCTGCCGTTTGAAGGCTACGTCAGTCTAGAGAAGATACAAATACGGGTAACTTTTGTGGCCATTGCTCCGAAGAAATGATGTTGCAAAAACAAAGACTTGCTTATCTCAGGATGGTTAAAAAAATGCCCAATCACTCGTTTTTAAATGAGTGATTGGGAGTGTTAAAACACTCTGTTTGAAATTTTATTGGACCATCTACTGGTACAATGAAATCTGTTTCCTGGAGCAAATGTTCATCTGTTTTCTTTTCTAGATTGATCCCTCGATTTCAATAACAGCCACACGAACAGAGCGTGGTGTGCCTGTAGTCAATCTGCTTTGTTCAGCGCATCCTTGGAGACCCAGGGGCAGTTAGTCGGGAAGATAGAATGTTCGTGGCGGAAGTTTACTATAAGATCGATCTTATAATAAACTTTAGCCACGAACATTCCATCGTCCCGACTAACTGCCCCTGGGTCTCCCAGGATGTGTTCAGTGGCACTTTCCTTCCTAGTGTCAAAGCAAGAGATTAAACTGTTGAGTCAGTGGACAAAATACCATTTCCGGCTTTCAATATAAATGCGATGCTGCAATTTAGCACACCAAAAAAATCTGGCATTATCTGGACCAAGAGATCCTCTGTTTTCTCAAAAAAATAAAAAATTAACTGAATGTTAAATTATCTTTGCAAGCAAGCAAAGTGTCAAAAACATTGTAACACCAGGGTGTTCTTTACCTACTTTTCAGCACATGTTCCNGTTTCTATTGTGGATGTGTTTATTTTTTGATGTTTGATTTTGGTGGGGTGTGTGTTGTTTTTTTGTTTTATTGTTTCTTCTTATTTGGTTTTTTTTTTTTTTTGGAGGTTGTGTTGTTGTTTGTGCGGGTGTGAGGGGAAGAGGGGGGGGGGGGGTGAGGGGGGGGGGGGGGGGGGGGGGGGGGGGGGGGGGGGGGTCATCCAGACCCTTAGATAAGCGGGGGCCCGGTCTCCCAAAAAATTTTTTTCGGCCCTTCGGGCCTCAGTTTGGTCTACAATTAAGTGGGGACGGGCCCTCCCCTGAATCCGCTACTGGAATATGTCTTCCAAGCATTATATCAGAGGTTGCCAGCCACAAAAATGAACTTTGAAAACTTGTTAGGCTAACAAGGTTCAAAAACCGCAATTGCCATCCGTTCCAATCTTCTTCAAGACTGCTCATCCTTTTTTCCTTTTGTATTTGCCATGTTATTTATACCTTCGTTTCATGTTTTGAGCAGTTTTTTTATGTTTCATCCAGTTTGGTGGTGGTTCCAACTGTTTGAATTTTGATTGATAACGTGACACAGCTCCTTTAATTCTCTAATAAGACACTGTGTCTGCCCCTCAAATTTTGCATAAACCATTGTTTTTCAAATACTCCTAGGAGAACTGAATTTTCCCAAGAGCATTTGAAGACAATAACTTATGCAAAACATGGGGGGCAAAGAGAGTGTATTATAAGGGATTCGCAAAATAGTCAATATGTTGCCGGCTGCTCACCCAAACTACACACAATTACAAGAGCCTACAATGTTAGCCTGTTCCAGGCTCCGAGAAAGTCGGGTGCGTGCGAACACGAAAATATGACGGGAAGAAACTGGGGAGAGGAAAGGCGGCACCCCCTTTTCCCAGATCACGTTTTCATGTTTTAACGTTTTTTCACGTGCCTTTTAATTACGCGTCATCTCTACTAACTGAGAGCCTGGAACAGGCTACCACAATAATTTCTATGAGTAATGTCTTAAAGCTCCATGGTAGCAAACAACCTAAGGCAGTCTTCAGTTCCCTAACTGTATTTTACTTGCCTGAGGTCAGCCATTGTGTTTGGTTATATTGTATACAGGGTTCTCTTTTCACGAAGTGTATGTTTTCCTTTGGTTGAAATTATTAATAATTCTACGTATGGAATATGTCAGCCTTCTTTCAGCTTAAGGTATATTATTAAAAGAAATAACATTTGGCAATAAGTATTTAGGCCAATTTCTAGAAGGAATATTGGTATACCATTACCCTCTGGCCGACCCTGACTCACCTCTTCTTGCCCTTCCTTCTATCTTAACATCCTAGAACAGGCTAGGTAAGCCTCTTACTTTAGAGCGTTTTCACTAACGTTGCCAGCAGCTACGCAAGTAAGAAAAAGGCCCACAGGGACCCCAATATGGCCGCCGTTTCATTGTCCAGGAACACCAATATTATCTTCATGGACCTTACTCAATTTGATTGAATTTGTCAAATGTTAGCGAAATTTTCTGGAGTTGAAACAGAAAGGACCGTACCTAAGTTAAGAAAAAGAAAATTTTTGTGTTGTGTTCACTTACTCCATAAAGAGGGCAATGAAATGTACAAAAAGGCGTGATGTACGAGCAAAGTCGTTGTTTTGCTAATCTAAAACCATTGCTTTTCTGCCGTTTTGCTACCATGGTAACGTGACGTCACACTTCTCTCTATAGAGAAGAGCGTTATCACTCACTTGGCCAGGATTTTTGCAAATTTATTGCAACAAAAGAAAGTTACATAAGAAAAGAGTTCAACTCCCACAGGATTGGTTTGGAACACCAATATTGCCGCCGTGACGTCAGATGAAAACGCTCTATTAGATAAACGTACTTGAATTGCATTAAAAAAAAGCTTTAAGTTATATCCAAGGAATGTACCTTTTGGAATACAAATCTAATATTAAATTAATATTAATATGATATTGTCATTAACTCTTATTATAGTATGATGTCGGATTCTGTCATTCCAAGGCATTCCTCTTTCTCATTTAACAGCTTGGCAGAAGCATAGTATTCGCCCTAAAAGGAAAGAACAATCCTGTATTTTTAAAACGACTTTATAGCCTTTGAGGAAATATTCCATTTTAGAAATGTACCAACATGAAAAAACTGCAGGAAGTAATCATCCATTAGTTTAACGCCTGACGGGCCTGAGAAAACGGCCGAAATTTAGTGAAGCCATCACTGGTTTCCCCTCGAAACTCGCCACTTTAAAAACAAACAGGGAACTGGAACCGAGATGCGGCCCGCAATTATTTCTGGGATGGTCACTGGTGGCGCGCCGGTCAGCTATTGGCCGATGTTTTTCCCCTGTCCCTGGTAACCGTCCCAGTAGTCTTTGCGAAAGTTAACTCGGTCCAGTTTCCTTCTCGTCTATTCCGGATATTTTTGAATACGCAACTTTTTCTTTCCGGATACGGTTACCGTCCACACGTATCCGGTGTATCCGGCGGACGAATCGATCCGCAACTTTTTAAATCCCTCTCCAGAGTGGAAGAAATTTCTGAATCCGCGCTATGTATCCGGGAATGTATGGACGCTAAATCCGGATATTTTTTGTATCTACTGACGTCATAAGATAGAGCCCAGTTCTTTACCGTGAATATTTAAGACAGTTTGAGCAAAGGAAAATTTGCGGATTCAAAAATATCCGGATATGGGTGGCCGCGGAGATTTTAGTATCTGGAAAGAAAAAGTTGCGGATTCAAAAATATCCGGGAAAGCGTGGACCTAAGGGGCCTAAGGTAAAAGCGCAGAAATTCCACACTGATGACGTACGTGCTAGATCTGGGTAGTGCTTCTTGGTTGAAGCATTTGCAACCCAATCAGAAGCAATTCCCAGACCTGGATAGTGACACCTCATCAGGATGGAACTTCTGCAATCGTTCCTTAAACGTCATTTCGCGGGGAAAGCAGTGGTGTCGTGTCGGCTTTTTTCTCAGGTTAGCGACTCAATAGAAAAATAAATAACAAAGAAGAATGGATGGCCAAATATATATCTGTTTTTGTTTGGTTACATTTTTCTGCTGTATAAACTGCGTTTCCTTTGCATTTCACAGTCTAAAATGAACTTTAAATTGGCCTTATACTATGAAATAATTGTTTTGTTACCCTTGGAATCATTTTTGGAAGTTTGATTGCTTCATGTACGTACACCTTTTGACCTGAAATAATAAAAAAAGACCATTGATCGTGAGATACCTCTATTATACACTGCTAAAACTGTCAACTCTCAACATCTAGTTACAGTGATGTCTTATTTTAAAAAAAAAAAAAAAAAATTACGCCGGAGACCTCCTTACGAATCTATAGGAAGGACCTCGCCATAAAACGAATATTTTATAGAGATAGCATTTGCCATTCTCGAGGTATTTTACACTGACGCTTTTTGTTATACCTGGGTAAGGTCGGTTAAGCAGCTAAAATACGCATATACGTCACAAATGGACTTGAACACAAGTCGACTTCTTTGATCGATGGGGTTGCGAGAGCGAGGGATGAAAGTTTCAGAAAGTTTCCCTCCTGACCAAAACGGAATATTTAGAAAGATAGTAGGAAGCTTTTTATCAGCAACAACGACGGCGACGTTATAGAAAAAGTCATTGAATAGTATAATTGAATTCATTTTATTTTTTTAAACATTGTCGCGTTTAGTTTCACGTCCTAGTCGTGCAAAGACGACAAAAAGTTGGTCGTTTATCATTTACATACAGTTTCCAGAAAATCCAGTTATAAAGTAAATGTAGCACGACTTTTCAGGTCGTTACAGTGGAAAAATTTCCAGGAGCAACGGAACGTCTAAAAAGGTAGACTAGTCCTTTTTTCCCGTTTGAAATGTTCCAAACGGAAATTCCTGTTCCATTTCTTCAAAGCCATTTTTAATACCATTTTCAGGCTTTCGCGGTCGGCGGATGTTTTTCGGTAAATGGAACTGATTTATGCAAATGGTTACAGCTAAATTCGCCTGGAGGTAAAAAGGCAAACGCGATTCCGGGACGAAATTTACCAGTCCTGAATTTTGCGCACCATTTAACCAAACCGTGAACCGACCAGTTTGTCCATGTGAATGGTAAACAAGAGTTTTGCACAAACAGGCGTGATGGACGTCCACTGTTGATGGCTTGCTATCTTTCTATCTGGGGGTTGTCACTTATTCACACGGAAGATCAAATTCTAGTCACTCACTCACACGGACGATCACATTCTACTTACTTAATATGAGTCTCTACTGTTGATCAAAAAGGATTACTGAGGGCAAGACAGTAAATCTACCTTTGTGCATGGGACAAGAAAATGTGTCTGCATTCAATTTACATATGTCGTGTTCAACATCATACAGAGTATGGCCTCTGAACTTGGCCAATATATGCACTGCTCCTCCATGAAGTGAAAATTCTGTGAGAAATTATAAAAAAAAGTTCATGAATGCAATTGCAAATAAGATCGTCTCAGTTAAAGACACAACGTCAATTGCGACAAGAAAGCTTGAAAGCAAAAGGGCTTTGGGGGATTCGACCCCTGCACTCTGTGATGCAGCGGTGCAGCGCTTTCCTACAGTCAAAGCCCGTTAATACAGACTCCGAAGGGGGCCATAGAAAGTGTCCGTATTATCGGGGTGACTGTATTAATCGGGTTGAATTTAAAGAAAATGTGAGGGCTTACTTTCACCAGGGACAAGGAAAACTGTCCGTAAAAATGAGGTGTCCGTACTAAGCGGGTGTCCTTAAAGCGGAGTTTGACTGCACAACCTATGCTAGCAAGCAAACTGGGAGCCAAGTTAATGACCAGCTCCCGGCTGGCTTGCTGGTTCAATTGGTTATCGAGCGCTGCACCAGTGTCACAGAGGTCGGGTTCGAATCCCCGCAAGCCCAAATTCTGCGTGCAACAAAATATATCATTAGGAGACGTCTGCACACACGCTAATTGAATAATGGATTAAAAAGGGGTAAAGAAATTGGAAGGGGATGAACTCGACTTACTAGCCTGAGCCAGGCTCTCAGATAGAATTGTGGGGACGTATTCATGACGTATTTGAAACGAGCAAACGTACCATGCTCCAAGATGGTGGTGAAGTCGTTCAGTGAAAAGACATGCCAAAAACCCGCTGCCGCCCCCTTTCCCAGATCTCGCGCGTCTAATTTTCGCTCTGCTCGTTTCAAAAACTTCCCAACTATACTATCTGAGAGCCTGGCACAGGCTAACTACTTACTTGCAGTAAAATTTGATACGGCTGTCGCGATTACACGCTTCAGTTTTGAGTCATAATGAATCACCACTTTTCCTATCTTTTTTCTTGGTTTACTGGGATCTGCAAGTCAAAGTAAACTAGTTTAAATTTAATTAGTTTAAATATTGTCAACACGTCTCAATACATTACAACTTTTACAAAAGAGAGCTTACGCATCACGTCTTTGGCTGTGCTGCAAAACAGTCGTTATTTTTTTTTCTTAACATCAGCTATTAGGCAGCGTAAGAGTAGCCTAAGAGTCTCACGCTCGCGAAGCGTTCGAGCCTCACACGCCCATTGAAGCGGGAGAAAAAAGTGTCTGCCCATTTTCAGCCTCGCTCAAGACCTTTAGTTTGACTGTTCACGCTGACTGTTTTGCAGTCTACCCACGCTAGGAAGAATCCTTCAAGTTTTATACAATCACGGCTCCTGACAATCACGGGAGCCGCTCCTGACAATCATCATGGCTTTTTTCATGAAAAAAAAAAAGCGCTCTACTGCCTCTTTAATTTAAAATGAGCTCAACCTACAGCGGCGGATCTAGACCTTCAGATAGGGGGGCCCGGTCATCCAGACCCTAAGATAAGGAGGGTGGGGGGAGCCCGGTCATAAAAATTTTTTCAGAGCCGTTCGGGCCTCAGTTTCGTCTGAAATTAAGGGGGGCTCAGGCCCTCCCGTGGATCCACCACTGATTACATGAGCTGTGCTAATGGTTGTATCTGGAGGAGACTGACGATTGCGTGACGAAACTCTATCTAAGTTTGTTCGGTAGAATGCATGCTGTTTTTTCTTCATCATTATTATTATTAAATTTTAACCACCCATAATCTGACATTGACCTTTTTGTACAGTTGACAGCAAAACAGGAAATTATTCTTCAGGGAAGAAATCACAAGTTTCTAGCACTTAAACAAGAACATAGAGATAACCAAAGGTATAACCTGTTCAATGGATTTTTCAATTAAAACAAATCGCGTGTCTACGGGAAATGCACCGGGTGATACTTTTCGCGCCAACACTCAACCTAAAGTTTTGAAGGGCAAAGGTTGTTCATGTCACGGGTGTTTTATTTTATAATAAATTCCACCGCGAGTCGAGTCTAGAGTTGAAAACCATAAAAATGAAACTTCTGAGATCTGCGAAGAATATTAATCAATAAACAGGTAAGGCCCTACTAATAGCTGCATTTAATACAGACATTTCTTTTTCCTCGAGTTCTTAATTTTTTGTTCTTGTCGAGCAAAAAAATGAAACAATGATGAAAGGAAGAACACTCACATGCTGTGACCGTAAACATTTTTACATCTAATATTTAATTGTATAGTCTCCCAGCCAAAAGGTTTCTTTAAAAACCTTTCGACTCTTAGAAAAGACCAAAATCTGTGTTTTTTTTCTCCGAATTAACAAAATTTCAACAGTTAATTAATCGGGAAGTGTTTGGATGAAACGGATTATATAACCTACAATAGCATAGATAAAAAATCCTAAACGGTGATCATTCAAATGAAACTAAATAGTTTCCCTGCTGCACTAGAATCAGCAACTTTTAATTTTCTTTCTTCTCAAGCGGGGATTTCCAATATTTTTTCTGTGTGTCCTTTCGCGATAATTCTACAAGGTCAAAGGGGTATGAAATTATATTAAAATGCTCACCACAGCCATCCCAGATATCTCCGATGGATTTTAGACCTTTCTCCTCAACCCATTTATCCCAAATTGTGCTACCATTTCCCTCCAGTTTTTGTGTTATGTCCAGGTCGGCTAAATCCGCGAATAGTGAAGTCCAAACCAAAAATAACGCCAGCGCGATGCAAATGACAATACCGCCTTGAAGTACGATGCGTTTCTTGTAACCAATACTCCAGAATCTAACTCGAACGGCATTCCACCCACGACAGAAGAAATCCGGAATCATGGTGATCAGACCATTTAAAATACGCTAGGGGGCTCTCAATGTTCTTTGATATTTAACGCGAGAGATGGAAGATGACTAACTAACAGTGGAAAAATCCTAAACGCTTGCTAGCCTTCGTTGACTGCGTTATCCATGATCGAATATTCAACCAGACAGGAAGTGACAGAGATCCCGCGGACACTGAAAAAACAGAGTACGTGCAAGTTAAGTATTGTCTTCCTGACCGCAAAGGAGAACAGATCCGCAAAACAAGTCTAATGAATATATCAGGTTTAAAAATTTCGTTGTTTGATATCCTGCAGGCAAGATCTCAACTTGGAGATGGGAGAGCTGGCGGCACAGAAAACGGTGAAAATCTTTCCACTTACAGCAAACCCTATGCGGCCGATGTAATACTTACAGTTTTTTCAAAATACGTCCCCAAAACCTGTCTTTGTAAGGCACAAGTTCTTTAGATTATTGTTCACCGTTTACCTTTTTGAACAATCGACGCAACGACGCAGTATACAAAGTCGAATTGTACGTGTGTGACTTCAGGAAAGTGTATCTCTTGTTCTAGGTCTCGTCAAGAAAACAGAGGGTGGGGAGAGTTGCAAGAAGAACATATGAAGCGCATGTATCGCACGTGATAAGCTAGTGAGATAGTCGCTTTTGTTTCCGTTTTTCCGCCGGGCTGGGACTCTAGCCTGTGAATACAGCCACAACCCTCGTCTCATTAGTTGGGGCAGTTGGGATGTTTTCTACCCTCCCAGTGTTGGTTTGTGCAAGTTGGCATCACAGAAGCAAAAAATTCAACACTGGAAGGGAAAGAGGACAAAACCTTTTTGTCGCTATATGGTTTTTGCACCGGGTGTCCCAGCTAGGGAAGTTTTGTGGCCGGAGACAGCTGGCTGAATTCGCAGGCTAACTGCGACTCTGAAGGTGTTGAACCGGCCCCAATTTATTTAAAATACGCTAAATAGGGTAGAAATTGCAGCTTTTTGAATATAATGACGACAGCCAAATTCTGGATAGTCAATGTTTTGCAATACCCATAAAAATCGCTTTATAGATATGTCTATATAAAAGAGTAATTGCCGTCTTACTGTGTCGATGTGTAGTAGGGGTCAAATATAGTCTTCCACGTAGTCTGCGAGCAAGCTCCCCATTTATGATGGTCAAATAAACTTCTGAGCCACGCCCAGAATGATCTAATCTAATGCTCCGAAGACGAGCATACCCTGAAATTTAAGGTGGCTGTACATGGACACAGTTTTAGCAGTTTGTGAGTGTATGTCATTTGCCAAATCATGGCAAAAGAAAGACTGCAGCTCACAGGTTGAAACTTGGCAAGTAAAAAATATACTGATCACAGATTTTGATTGACGGGTAAGATTTGACCTTTTCGCAGTTTCCATGGCAACATCAAAGACTGAATACAACCTTAAAATTTCACTTTTGCTCAGTTTACATAAAATTAGATTAGATTTTCCTTGAAAAATAGCACACAACTTACTGTAATTAATCATTACAGGAGCCTGGGTACAATGCATTGTGACAGGAGCCATTTAATTGTATTCAGGAGCCATAATCGGGGTAGGATACCGCAACTAGTACCTTTTCAATTAATGGGGTTGGTTCCATCAAAATAGCCAAATGTGCTATTTGTAGCACAAATTGTGCCATCTCGTGTGACACGCACGCGTAAGAGATGAATAAATTCAATTTTTGTCATCATTGCTTCCTCTGAATTGAGACAAGACCTTGTGGAGAACCTCTTTGACAATAACTCTAAATGTCAGGGCCGTGAATGTGATTCTGCTTATGTTAAACACCGCAGTAAGAGTGTTTTTGACAAATCCAATGACAAAGAGATGTCGGAGACGTCGTTAGCCTGCGTCGCAGACCCTCTAAACCTTCTGTATAGAGCGTCTGCGAATTAGTGCACAATATCGTGTTCAATTCGAATCCCGCAGAGTCGCAAGGAGTAGGCGTTTTTGATTGGCTAGTTTCTTACGCAGTTTGTGATTGGTCCGATTTGAAATTAAGTGTTGACGCGCCAAACACGTCTCAGCTCGAGACAAGAGAGAATTTGAGAGAATTTGAGCTCGTGATACATGAAGTGTGAAGGTTACCTTAGACAGATGTTTTCCTCGCTTTCTCTCTTTAGTGAAGATTTTGCAGAGCATGGGGTATAACTGAGGAAATTTAACTGAGCAAATCATATTTTTGTCGCTCGGTGTCTCATTTTTAGAGCATTGAAGCTGGTCTGTTCTAAGCATATTGAGTAATAAGGTCCTGTGGCTTATGTTTCTGTAGATGTTTCCTGTCAGGATTTTATCGCAAATGCAATTTACCATTAAATGGTATTCCTTTTCCTCTCTTTAAGCCTTAAGCTTTTTATTGCTGCTAAATAACCTTATATTTGTTAGTTTCTTTGGTTTTCTCAGAAATGCCTAGGACCTGAATAGGTACATTTGGGTAGTTTTTTTGCTCGTGAATATCATATTTCCTGATTTGTTTTTACGCTAGCCAACGCCGGTTAGATTGGCTCAGATTGCAGAATACGCCGCAGGCTGCAGCGATTGGAAGACGCTGGAAAACAAGTCAGCAAATTTACAAACACGCAAAATTTCGAAAATAAGCCCCGGGGCTTATTTTTTTCAAAGGCCCTTTTTGAGGGGCTTATTTTTGAAGGGACTTATATTCGATGGGGCTTATGTACGGAGGGAAGTTTGCTTTTCAAAATCGATTGGGCTAGCTTATAGTCCGAAGGAAATTTACCGTTTTTGCTTTGTTTTACTTTGTATTTGAGGGTAATTTTCCGAGTACAAGCCCTCGGGGGGCTTATATTTGGAGGGGCGATTTCAGGGAGGATTTTTTGTGCTACGAGTTTGGGGGGCTTATATTCGGAGGAGCTTATACATGGAGTGGCTTATTTTCGGAATTTTACGGTATGTGACAAAATAAATTCCCCACCGGCCCCGGGAAGAACTTTGATAACAAAATCCTTACCGTGGGAGCATATTCCCAGGGAGATATCCATCTGGAGTTTATTGAGCCATAAACTAGCCTGCGAGCAAGCTCTCGATCTCCGGAGTCCGAGGTGCTCTGGCGGCTAGCCATAAACAGGTTCAAAATCCAACTGAATACGATCGTATTACGCAAACCCTCTTAAGTATGCAAAAAAGCCTTTAAAAATTCTCTGTTTGCTTCACTAGTCAGTTCCAATACCAGGCAAAGTCAATTCGGTTTGCAGACATGAAGTGTGAGGAATTAATCCTTATTCATAAAAGAATTACAATATTTATCAATAGGCGTTCAGGTCTTTAGCCAAATCGTCATGTCAGTTATCAATTTAAAATTGAATCTTAACGAATTGGCTAGATTTCAAACTGTTTATGGCATAGCATTCCTCGATCAGTGCCAAAAGGGAAGACGAATTTTAAAACAAGTTCATAGCAATCTTTTATTATTACCTAACCCATATCAGAGAGGAAGTACTAGAAACGAGAAAAAAAACTTATAATACAGTTGTAAATGACTAAAGCTTCAAACGTTTTGACAGAACTAGGATAACTAATAAAAAATTTAGCAATCGACTAACGTCATACTCAATGGTGAGTTCTATATCATTGAAGTTAGCTCTATAGTGCATATTTCACACCTAAGATAGCTTGATATTTTCTGATCTTTCAGTTAATAACGAACCCACCCAAAACTGTTTACCTAGCTCCCTTATCCCGGCATTTCTATTTGACGCGGAATTTTTATATGTGGTAAAAGATCGCGAAACTCTGCCAAAGCGTAAGATGAAAACTATATACTAACATAACAGTTTTTCAAGGTGGCTCAAACTGCTTACGATATTTCCAGTCAAATCCCATCACCGAGGATACGATCGATTTTGGGTGTGCTCTAGAATTTAACTACAGATATGTAATCGTTTTACACTACATCTTTTATACAACAAGACACATGGATTGAAAAACTCACCAGTATGGGATTTGAGTGAATTTGATGGGACGACTTGCTCCGCGATAAAAGTTATTTGAACCTTTTTTTTTTAAGGGAACTTGAATGGGGAAATGTAAATTAATTAAAATATATACAACAACTGAATAAACATTGTTTAAGTTTGCATGACAATTATATGCATATTGCTGCTGAAAATATTGGTACGGTTACTATATTCTGCTATTTTCCGAATAACACAGGACGATATTTCCCGTATTCTAGATTTTTTAACGGCACGATAAGCAACGATTGAAGTTTTTGTAAAGGTGTGACAGCCCAAGTCCTCAAAAATCGCATTTTTACCACTTAATCATCAGACTGCAAGCAAATACAGCTTGTAAAAGCCAAATTCTTTGTCTGATAAATTTCCCTAAGGTCATGTTCACACCTAGTCTGCTACATAGCCGTTTTTAGTGTCGTCACGCAACGCTCCTCCCTAGTGGGGAGGAGCGTTGCGTGACGACGCTAAAAACGGCTGTGTAGCAGACTAGTTCACACCAAACTGGATGGCTTTTGCGCCGCCACGAGAGTCATACCGGGTGGGGCTTCCGTAGACACTCAAGAACGGTGATTTCGGCGCGATTTCTGTGACGGAGCGAAACTGCGCCTCGCCGGTCTCGAAGTAGCGTGACATATCGGACAGGTTATGTGCCATACTTTGGTGCAGTTTGAACACCATTCGGACCTTCGCGGAAGTAAATAAGTAGGAGCGAAAACTGGAACCCACTGAGACGGAAGTAAATATTCCGGAGGACTGGAATTTAGTGCACCAAACCCTCCCAGACAATTCCCAGACTTGGTGCGGCCGGCCGTTCGCACGCACACGGCGGGGTCCGGCTATGGTCTATCGAAGAGAACAACGGTGCTTTTTGATAGATATCGGCTTCCTTTGAAGGATTAATTCCTCTTCGTCCACATTTAAAACGTACTTCAGTACAACTTCAAACGTTATATGACTCAAAATACGCACAATGAATACTATTTTCTATTAACCTTTTGAGTAGTTGTGTAAGTTAAATATATTCTTTGATCATTATCTCTTCACTTTATTTTTTGGACTTTTTTAATGTTCTGTTTCGTGTACATTATCACTCATTCGTCTCTCGCTATCATTTTTATATTTTTTGACTCGAACCTTTGAAAAGGGCCCTTGCGGCACTTTCTTCAACGTGTGTCATCATAACGTGTCACAGAAACTTAACGTCCCTGTGATTGAACATTTTCTATCACAAGGAGCTACAAGGCAGCCTAAACATCAAGGCCAAGATAAGATTCATTGCCCTTCATCGCAAAGTTTTCAGACAAGCTATGTTAACCCAAAGACAATCGAAGACCTGAAAGATTACATCCAAAGTTACCTCCCATGGACCTGATAAGAGTCTCCACGTAGACTGCGCTATTTTGGAGAAAAAACGTTCACAGGATCGCCCAATCTTAGGAACTTTAATAGCATAACATCATCTGTGATTGTTAGATTGCCAAACAGTCGCTTCTTCCCCTCAAAAGTGGTCTAAGTAAAAACCAAGCTTTCATGATGTTGATGCTAAACTCCAAGGTCTGTAAAGTTACTCCTTGTAGACTTCTTCGATTTCTTTCCCAGGATCAATGCCATATTTTAAGAGACCATTCTTCACTGACGCCCACACCATATGCTTTGTGTTGAACGCCAAACCGATCTCACCAAACTTGCCCAAGCATATAACACCGCCATAACCACCAGTCAGTTCAGCCATTTTACTGATGGTTCTTGAGCAAGCCTCTGTGGGCGAGTCACCCTTTTCAATGCAGTTCACAACCTCTCTGGATAGAACGACCTTAAGTAACGATTCCCCGTGTCCGGTACATGAAGCACCTGCCCACTGATTAGCATATAATCCTGACCCCACCAGGGGTGAGTCTCCAACCCTACCACACATCTTGTGAGGTGTACCCCCTTTAAAGAAGTAGAAAATAAAACATCAGCAGGGGTACAAGAAGAGATACCTGTGGTAATTGCTTTGCATCCTTTCTTTGCACTGTAAGTTTATGTGAATATTGTAGCCTGCATGCAGAGGTTTTGTATATCTTTTGCTTGCAACAAAGGAAATAGGTGACATCTGCCCACAGGCTAATATGACTGAAGCATGGAAAGTATAATTTTTGTTAGCATTCTCATGAATTTGGGAACATGCATCTACTTGACTTGTACTTATACTTCATTCAAAGAGTTGGTGGCGTCTGAAGTTTGTCTGGATTTCATCCTGGACACCAATCAAGAAGGTGCAAAATTTGCATTGTTTTTCCTTTTCTTTTAGACATATTGGAATTTTTAAGCAAATGTTTGAGTGTTACCTGTTGAAGAGGTCGCAGCAATGTGTCCATTGATATCTATGGCAACTGCTCCCACTGTGTCATGTCCCTCAAGGTTGGTGTCCCTGTTCTCCTGAGTGACATGAGTGGCCACGCTTTCATGGTTCACATGCTTGTTATGATTCTCGCATCTCAACTTTTCTTTCATGTACATTTGATATGAACAATCACTTATTAACACACTTGGATCCTCCAGAATGGGAAAACCTATGTTTCTGGCAAATTTAAGGGCACCATCTCCAGCCAGCATACAATGTGATGTCTCTATCATAACTTTACGTGCTAAGGACACAGGATTTGAGATACTTTGAACACAGACTACTGCCCCTACAGACAACAACAGAGAGAATGATGTACTTTGTAGGATTAAATACCAACAACCTCCCCTATTGCAAGACTTACTTTTAGCTTTCACCTACCCCTCAGGAAATTCCCATCTACCTTCCTTCCTTCTTGAAGAGTCAGGGATGTACCAAAATGTTAATTTATTATCATCCTGTGGCAGGTTTTTCAAAGCTGAGTTAAGATAACACAGGGTTAGTGCAAAATTGAATTCAGATATGAAAGCAAAAAAACCCAATTCAGTTTGATTTTTTTTGTCTACAATTTGATGATTGGATGCTCAAAAGAGAATTTAGAAAAACTTATCAGAGAAAATGCTTTTGAACTATTAAAGGAAAAGAAACCAGGAAAAAAATTTAACCCCAGTTTAGCACTTAGTGCTAACCCCAGCCTAGTTCTTGGTCTTCAAATAACTGAACCAGGATCTCAACTCCTAAAATACCCCCTCCCCTCTCAAAAAAATAAAATAAAATAAAATAAAATACCCCATTAAACCTCTTGCCCCTTAAGCAAAACAACAATACATTAGCTGAATGGCATAGGCTTTTGGAATTTAGTCGCAAATTAAGAGTGTGTCTGACTGGGAAGGGTCAGTGATGGGGCAAACTTCAAAGTGAGGCACAAAACAGATTTTGGTTTGTGACAGAGGGAAAGAACCTTTAAAAATTATGCAAGGGCAGCTTAAGTGTAGTGGAAACAGAAAATGTAAAAGAATAGTTTGATAACAAAAGCAGTTAGGACAGAGCCCATTGGACGCAATGAATAAAATTAATAAACATGATATTTACTTACCAGTGTTTAAGGTTTGACCATCCATGATTGCGGCATCAAGTTCTACAGTTCCTTTTTCTGTTAGATAAGCCCCACAACCTGCATTTAATACCCCACAGAGTTCCATTTTTCTTGTAGCTATTTCCACGGCATCGAGTGAGCTTCCTCCCTTTTAATATTTTAATAAATAATAAATAACTCCTCTTATTTCTAGTGGGTGGCGGGGGAGACTTCCATATTCATGGCACAGAGATGTTTGTCAGTTCACCTAGGGGTAATTTTGCAGATTTGGTCTCACTTTGAATGTTCAAGACAAAAGCCAATATGGGTCCCTGTAAATGCACTGTCTTAATTTAAAATATGAATAATTGCAAGACCAGAACGTGGTCAGAGTGTTTTCCCAGCTTCTTTACAGCGATAAAATACATCTGTTGGCCCTTTTGAGTCCATTTTACATACAAAAATGACTGATTTCTCTTCCCTTTCAAATACTTCAACTATTGAAATCCCTTTCATATATCTGAAGCCTGAAAAAAGGTACCCCTTCCAAGTGGAGAGTCCCTGTATAGCTCATTATAGGGAGTATGAGCCTGGGACCTCTTTTCATGCAACTTAGCTTGCCCTACGACCTGTGATCTACTTCTACAAGACTACAGTATGCCATAGCTCATTAATTAGTCAATATCCAAGGAAGGAAGGAGAGTAAAACAGATTATCTAAAAACTTGGTCTAGGAGTGTTGGGGGACTGGGGTGCATTTTAAAAATTATTATTGCCATGGCATGGGGCAGGGTACAATTTTCAAATGAAATTATTATTATTATTATAATTTCTTTTTTTTTGGGGGGGGGGGCGGGTAAGGTCTTGGTACATAACATTTTTCTGAAAACCCCTGCCGCCTCTGGGATGTAATAAACGATCCCTCCCTTAAAATCGCTCAATATGTTGGAGTTTTTGTCAAATTAATTGTTTAGGGAAATTAAAAGGATGTCCAGATTTTCTTGCGATTTCTTTTCATATATTCTGTTGCTACTTCTTAGATCAGGTTGCTTTCACGTCAGGTTTCAGTTCATGGGAAAGAATAGAGTAGGCAAAACGTGGACCCTCCTTTCTGGACCCCCCTTTTGAACCCCTTTTTGGACCCCCTTCTGGACCCCTTTCTGGGCACCTTTTTTTTTGAAATAAAGAATAAATAAATAATGAATAAATTAATATATCAAAAACATGAGCAAACAAATAATAAAGTCCCCTACCATCACTCCGTCATGCACATTTTACCACGAAGCTCGAAAGGAAACCGGATAAAGCACAGGTAACCCAGGCTCTGTGATTGTACCACAGTACGGTTCTAGTAACTTCACAGTATTTGTAAGGGGTAAAAATATGATACTAAAATTTGTAGGAAATACTAAACATAAGTCAATGAAACTTACCCTGCAGTTAGTTGTTGTTGTCCTTAATGCTCCAACGAAGTTTTGTGATAATTTGTTCAAATTCACTTTATATACAATTTATTATAATATATAAGGTAGGAGACACAGGATACCATCTTCGCCACCATGCTCTCATTTAACTTCAACCAACGGGGTGACATAGCCTGAGTGTCGTGCAATCTGCGACACTCGGGCTATGTGACCCCATTGGTATCGGGCAGTGGTAAAACCAAGATGGCAGAAGAAAATGGCAGGGGTTTGTTGTTCACATGGCTGTAATAGGCGCGAGCAGTCGTCTTGTTTAGCAGCACGCAAAGTTTTGCAGATACTGGCAATATATTATACCTGCCAACTTTTTCTGAGATATAAGTGTGAGATTTTTATCCTGGGAGTGCTGGGATTTTTGAAGACGACAGGATCATTTCCGAAGATTCCCAAAGAAGTCTGAAGTCTTCTGAAGATGTCTGAAGTCTGCCGAATGCGAAGCTATCGAGAAAATGCTTATCCACAAGGACCGACTTTAGTTGATAACATCAGCGCTATAGTTCAATCGCAAGGAAGGTATTGTCATTTATTCATTTTACACATGGTTTTCGTTCCTTACATGGGTCTGAGTTAGCATATTTTTGGAAATGTGTCAAGCAAGACGGCAACAACTCACATTTTTCAATCAGGCGTGAGAAATTGTCCCGCAAACGTGAGCCGGCGTGAGAACGAAGTTTTCAACACACAGGCATGAGACTCACGCCTAAGGCGTGAGAGTTGGCAGGTATAAATCCCAGGGGCCCCACTCACATATTTTAATGACGGGGGGGTCCGACAGAGGTTCATATTTTATACCCAAAAAAATCCCAACTTCAGAATTTGTCTACCCAAAAAAATCCCTCAGTGTTTTTGCATCAGCAAATTTTATTATATATCTTCTGGAAAGCTAAAACATGCCAACTTCAACTTTGGTTTTGGTCAAAAACAAAACTATAAATTGCGCTTATGTTATTGTTGATTTGAGCTGATGAAAAATACAATACCCCAAAAAATCCCTGTGTTGTTTTCGCGACCCAAAAAAATCCCGGCGTCTTTCATAGACCCAAAAAAATCCCTTTTGGCCAAAATGTCAGACCCAAAAAAATCCTTCGGACCCCCCCGTCATTAAAATATGTGAGTGGGGCCTCTGGGGTATAAATTATATATCCATTTGTCAGCCTTTATAGTACAAGCATAGAAATTTTATTTGTATCTTGGAAGCACTTTATCCAGTTACCTTTTGAGCTTCATGGTAAAATGTGCAAGACGGAGTGATGGTAGGGGACTTTATTATTTGTTTGCTTGCGTTTTTAAATATATATATTTATTTATGTTTTATTTATTTTTTAATTAAAAAAAAGAGGGGTCCAGAAAGGGGTCCAGAAGGGGGTCCAAAAGGGGTCCAAAAGGGGGGTGCAGATGGGAGGGTCCACGTTTTGTCTATGCCCTGTTTGGTAAAACATACAAAAAAAATTTATGGGCTCTCACAAATATTTAATAAGTATAGAGCGTTTTCACTCACGTGGCCATCATCTATGCAAATTTATTGGAACAAAGGAATATTTTTGCATAAGAAAAGAGTCCAACTCCCACAGGATTGGTTTGGGACACCAACATGGCCGCCATTTCATTGTTTTGTGACACCAATATGACCGCCGTGAAGTCATTATTCTCTGGTGAGCTGTATTAAAACTACTGCGTACCTCTAACAACACGTTATATCCCGCTTTAACCGCTTCTTTCACCGCAGAAAGGGATGATATTCTTCTTGCCGATGAAATTGTTCCTGCCCCTCCATGAACAATGATGCAGGGTTTAAATGAAGGTTTTCTTTGGGCGGTCATTTCGGCCTTTTTCTTTGGCCTAGAGGATCTGGGTACGAGAACAGATTGTTTTTCAAGATGGCGGAGGATCTTGTTCAAGTCGACGATCAGGAAATTCAACGCTGTTTTGACACTGCCGTGCGCATAGCACGTAACGCAGGAGAGGTAATTACATCATTGAAGGTATTAGGTAAATATGGACGGACGAGTTCCAAAGTTTGTTGGGAACTTGAAAATTTGGCGCCGACGACTTCGACAAGTTTTTTTTGCCGGTTAATTTGTCGAGTGCTTGTCACGTGTAGCCTGAGTTTCAGGATGCGACCCAAAGATATGTCTGAAATTCAGGCTATTTAACGTGAAGTTGCCAAGTTTAAATCGAATTGACAACAGCGAAAACAAACTGTCAAATTCAACGCCAATGTACTATCATTAGGTTGTGCGGGTAGCTTTTCACAAGGAAAAGAACATTGACACAAAGTCTTGCGGAACAGATCTAGTAACAGAAACAGATAAACAAGTTGAGGAGTTAATCATTGGATCCCTAAAGAAGGAATTTCCTTCTCACAGGTAAATTATCTTTTAAGAAAATGACTTAAAAGTCATGACATCTTTATATTTTTCTTGTTTTCCTTATGTTTTTTTTTATTTTTAGCCATTTCTTCCCTCTTCCGTCCCCTGGTTGTCAATAAGTGTGCCAGTTTTATTGTAACGGGTGATTATCCTATTTATTTATGTTCGCAGTTTCATTGGTGAGGAGTCAGTAAGTGCTGGTGGAAGCTGTAATCTCACAAACAATCCGACATGGATAATTGATCCCATTGATGGTACAACCAACTTTGTTCACAGGTAAGTACTGCAGCGGAATTACATTACAAGACATTTGTACTTGTTTGTTTATGCACTAGTCAGTGGAAAGCCCCGCACCCCCATACCCGGGGAATAGCGGGGCATTAGACCAGGCGTCCCAACTAAATGAAGCAAATTCCCAGCTATGCGGGGCAATTTCTTATGTCAAAACCTCATTTTTAAACTCCGCCCCCGGGGCAATACTTGAAAAATCACAAGTCTCTGAATATTTCTGTAAAACCACAGCAGCAGTGCTGCTGAGTTTGTAATAATCCTTGAATTTCATAATGACACTCTCAGTTTCACAAATGTCCACTGCCCACCTGCTGTCCTTATATTGAAATAAAACCTTTGAAAAACAAAAATTTCATTGCCACTTAAAACACAAGGTTAAAGCCTTCAATAAGCTTTAAGATCAAAATCGATTAATGACTAGCAAATATAAGCTTATATTCATATACACATGTGGCCATACCTATTAATTTTGTATTTGCTTTATTACTAAACATTCACACCAGATGAATGACTGAGGTCTACACAATGGAGCGCCTAAAAGCTAAAATATACTGTATTATTCCATTAAGACAGTTACACCGTCTGAATAAATATACTGATGTGGTGTTTATAACTAAAAGATGTGACACAACACAAGACTTAAAAGTAAATTGACACGCTGAGCACATTATAGAAACATATTTCAATGAAAAAACAAATACAGTTATTTAAAACGACAAATAAAATCAGCCATTGGCTCAGTTTGCACAGTTGCTACGGAAATGAAACAAGTGCCAAAAGACAAAAGGTCAACGCTCTAAATAAATCGCTAATCAAGCATGACGAGGGCATAAACAATACCCAACTTTGTCTAATTTCACTACAAGACATGATAATATTGAGAGATTGAACACAGAATTTAATCGATGGCCCATTACAGGCATGAAAAGAATGGATTTTAAATCATACATACCCTTCTTTTTGGCAGCTGCCATTTTGAGATCATACGCTTTCCCAGTGTTCTTTGCAGGCCTATTCAAAATTGCTTCAAAAGCGAAATCCCCACCAAAGCCCCGCTAACGGTGCCTGGTCGCTGTTATTTGTGTCTAATGTTGTCGAACACCCCGCACACTGGGGCAAAGATGACCACTAAAAACTGCTAAAATCCCCTGCTAATGTCCCGCATTCCCCCGGTATGGGTGTGCGGGGCTTTCCACTGACTAGTGCATTACTTTTCATTGATCAGTGATAATTTTTGGCTAGGGGCAAATGATGAAAGTTTACATTTTCCTTTTAAAAGCACAAAACGAGTGGGGAATTTTACCAGCCGTTCGATTCGTCCTTTGTGTGTGAATATGTCTCAAAAGTGCAAATTTTGTTTTATCACAGAAGTAAGCGAGGATTCTAAAAGCAGTTTGTCTCAGTCCACAGCGCATACTACACGATTCTAAAAACAGAAAGCCGTCTGTTTGATGAATTTTGAGAGATCAGTCAAGCGACAAGCTCATTATATTTCTTGACTTGACTCTCAATTCTCAAAACGCGAGAATTGATTCTCAAGACTCAAGAATTGATTCTTGAAAGTTCCAAGAATCAATATGCAAGTGACTGTCAACTTACTTTTGAGTGGTACTCTACAATGGAAGAATTGGGCTTTTCCTATGTTTTGACTGGAATGCTCCTAAATACTCCTTAAAAATTGTTCATCTTAGATTTCCTTATGTGGCGGTGTGTATTGGCTTGGCAATCAACAAAAAGGTGAAAATTTAGTCTATTTTAAACCCATATTTTGTTAGCTGTTTAGAAAGACTGCCCATCCCTAAATAAATAATCATAAGAAGCTAGATAACCTTTGTGCAATTAAGCTGTGTAATAAATTAACTGATCAGAAAGTGTTTCTAAAAAGAAACTGGACAGGTATAACAATCCCTCTGCTCTATTCTAGGTTTCACAGGTGGGGTGGGCAGACATCAATAGAATAATAGTTTTTGTTTTTTCTCCACATCCTTTCTTGGTACCCAGAGTAGTTTTGCTCTCAACATAATCTAAGATAACAGCTTCAAGGTTAATGGTGACTCAACAAAAATTCTTTTTAGCACATGTGATGGAGGAATTATTAATTTTTTACAGTGTACTGCTTTTGCTACTAGTAATTCAGCAAATTTACATTACTCTTATACCTTAAACAGTTAGAGTGATTTTACTTGAACCGTGAAACAGATATTAACAAATAGTGCAAAATAGGGAGAGGTAAACAAAAGAAGACAATAGAATTAGTGCATAATAGTGCGTGGTATTCCTCTACCTATTTCACGGTTCAAGTAAAATCACTGTAACTTGGAGACGTATGCATGGGTGGTAATACGAGGAATTCTTTGGTGGGAATGTGTTATCCAAATCCTGATGATCCTAGATTTCAGACCAATACATGTCATTTTCCATCTTTGTTTTTAGACCTTGCTTTTAAAATCCATACCAATTTTCAGAGCTGACTTCTGAAAGTTGTACTTCATCTACCAACCCATTGCCTTGGTTGACAAGCTGAACATGCATGAATAAATTTTGGTAACTCATTCATAGTCCCCTAATTGTGCAAAAAAGTGACAAATGGCCTGCATAAAAAGTAAGACTAATTTTCTCTTCTCATGTTTGTCATTTTTAACTAGGTAGTAATTGGGGTCATATACAGTTGTATTAGAGATGAGCTATACACTGCCAGGAGAGGCTCTGGAGCATTTCGTAATGGAAAGCAAATTCACTGTTCTGGTCTTACAGGTAGCCGTCAAAAGAACAAAACCAGGTCTATTAGAATACAGAAGACCCTAGATAGCAAGACCAGAACTGGAGGTGGGGGGAAGGGTCACTCAAGGGAAGTTAAGGTACACTTGTGCAACTGAGGTCTTCAATCCCTGAGCATGTTTAAGATAAAAATTTTTGACCGCTCATCGCCAACCTTCAACCTCTTCTAGTCCAAAAAGACACCCTGTTCAAGTCACTAGATATTGAAATACCATGTTTAAGACTCAAGACCCCTGAAGATCATAACCTGCTTAGCATAGTTTGGGGCCAGGCACCGCAGTTGTGGAAAAAGGTGAAAAAAAAAATTGGTGAGCGAAACAAGCCGAGTAGCAGTCTCGGGAGAGGAAAGGGTCTTGCCAATTTTTTTAGGCTGTTTCACTCCATTTTTTGCCATTTTCCCGCACAGTGGAGCCTTGTCCCAGGCTATGTTTAGCAGCACATATCCATCTAGGCCAAGTAAGGAAGTGTGCCCCATTTCCAGGACCTGAACCTTGTTGCAGTGACCTGTGGTTTGTAAAAACAAGGTTGTGATAGGGGTCTCTTTGTATTGATTTGGGAATCGTGGTTGAGGTTATTATCTAAGGTTTGTCTTTTATTGTAATGGCTCTATTGCAAATCTCATCTTTCAAGTTTTTCTTGCAAAAAGGGAGGGGGTTTTTAATCTTAGTCATTTTCTAAGGGACATAGCAGATTCAGAGTCACGTTTACAGCAAATGTTAATGTCAGATTCAAGTTGAGAAATTCTCACAACAGAAAATGAACAAATAAAAACAGCTTGATTTATGAAACAGTTCCTTTGGAGAAAACTGGCATAAATCTTCTGATTTCTGTGTACAGTAGTTAAAACGGAACAGAAATCAACAAGAACAGGGAGTAATTGGCCACGTGGTACAAATTTGCATTTGTTAAATTGGGGTCATATACAGTTGTATTAGAGATGAGCTATACACTGCCAGGAGAGGCTCTGGAGCATTTCGTAATGGAAAGCAAATTCACTGTTCTGGTCTTACAGGTAGCTGTCAAGTGAACAAAATCAGATCTATTAGAATACAGGAGGCCTTAGATAGCAAGACCAGAAATGGGGGTGGGGGGGAGGGGGTCACTCAAGGGAAGTTAAGGTACACTTATGCCACTTGTTTAAAACAAAAGTTCTTGACCGCTCATCGCCAACCTTCAACCTCTTCTGGTCCAAAAAGACACCCTGTTTAAGTCACTATATACGGTGTGGCACAAAATGTTTGTGGGTTCTAATTTTTGTGATTTTTCCATCAATCCGCAAAAATAAGATCCTGCAAATAAAAATTACCGCAAACATTTTCCTGCAAAAATTTACTCCAGAGTAAATATTCTCTAACTGAAATTTGCTAGGCAGAAAAATAGTACTAAGAAATCGTGTCTGTTCATTCACAACTTGTCTCTTTCATTCAGAAACAAAACAGTATACAACAAAAAACTGTTTCGTATTTCTATTGCTTTTACTCAATAAAAGCGAAAATATTATCAACGCTGGGTACTGGGTACTTTCTAAAAATCCCAAAAATTAATTCCCAGTGAGAAAAACCAGTCTGTCCTAATCGCAAAAATTAGTTCCTGCAAAACACAATAACTTGCCAATCAGCAAAAATAAACTCCCGCAAAAATTTCTTGCCCGCACGGTATTGAAATTGTATACCATGTTTCAGACTCAAGACCCTGAAAATCATACCCTACTTAAACTAGCCTGGGACCAGGCCTGGCAGTTGGGGGAAAAGGGCGAAAAACAATAATCGGTGAGTGACACAAGCAGATTGGCAGTCTGGGAATAGGAAATAGTCTGGCCAATTTTTTTAGGCTGTTTCACTCCGTTTTTTGCCATTTTCTCCCACAGAGGATCCTTGCCCCAGGCTATGTTTAGCAGCACATATCCTTCTAGGCCAAGTAAGGAAGTGTGCCCCATTTCCAGGACCTGAACCTTGTTGGAGTGACCCGTGGTTTGTAAGAACAAGGTTTTGATAGGGGTCTCTTTGTTTGGATTTGGGAATCCTGGTTGAGGTTATTATCTAAGGTTTGTCTTTTATTGTAATGGCTCTATTGCAAATCTCATCTTTCAAGTTTTTCTTGGAAAAAGGAGGGGCTTTTTAATCTTAGGTCCCGTCCACACGAAGACGATTGTAAACGCAAACGCTAGTAAACGCATATTTTTATCTCCGTCCACACAAAAACGATCATCGTTTACGTAGCGTTTTAACCCGTCCACACGAAAACGCTCGTAAACGCATAAAACGATGTCATACACCGAAAGTTCTCTTTCCACTCTTAGTTTGCACAGTTGCTACGGAAATGAAACAAGTGCCAAAAGACAAAAGGTCAACGCTCTAAATAAATCGCTAATCAAGCATGACGAGGGCATAAACAATACCCAACTTAGTCTAATGTCACTACAAAACATGATAATATTGAGAGATTGAACACAGAATTTAATTGATGGCCCATTACAGGCATGAAAAGAATGGATTTTAAATCGTACATACCCTTCTTTTTGGCGGCCGCCATTTTGAGATCATACGCTTTCCCAGTGTTCATTGCAGGCCTATTCAAAATTGCTTCAAAAGCGAAATCCCCGCCAAAGCCCCGCTAACGGTCCCTGGTCGCTGTTATTTGTGTCTAATGTTGTCGAACACCCCGCACACTGGGGCAAAGATGACCACTAAAAACCGCTAAAATCCCCCGCTAATGCCCCGCATTCCCTGGGTATGGGTGTGCAGGGCTTTCCACTGACTAGTGCATTAATTTTCATTGATCAGTGATAATTTTTGGCTAGGGGCAAATGATGAAAGTTTACATTTTCCTTTTAAAAGCACAGAACAAGTGGGGAATTTTACCAGCCGTTCGATTCGTCCTTTGTGTGAGAATATGTCTCAAAAGTGCAAATTTTGTTTTATCACAGAAGTAAGCGAGGATTCTAAAAGCCGTTTGTCTCAGTCCACAGCACATACTACACGATTCTAAAAACAGAAAGCGGTCTGTTTTATGAATTTTGAGAGATCAGTCAAGCGACAAGCTCATTATATTTCTTGACTTGACTCTCAATTCTCAAAATGCGAGAATTGATTCTCAAGACTCAAGAATTGATTCTTGAAAGTTTCAAGAATCAATATGTAAGTGACTGTCAACTTACTTTTGAGTGGTACTGTACAATGGAAGAACTGGGCTTTTCCTGTGTTTTGACTGGAATGCTCCTTAATACTCCTTAAAAATTGTTCATCTTAGATTTCCTTATGTGGCAGTGTGTATTGGCTTGGCAATCAACAAAAAGGTGAAAATTTAGTCTATTTTAAACCCATATTTTGTTAGCTGTTTAGAAAGCCTGCCCACCCCTAAATAGATAATCATAAGAAGCTAGATAACCTTTGCGCAATTAAGCTGTGTAATAAATTAACTGATCAGAAAGTGTTTCTAAAAAGAAACTGGACATGTATAACAGTCCCGCTGCTCTATTCTAGGTTTACAGGTGGGTTGGGCAGACATCACTAGAATAATAGTTTTTGTTTTTTCTCCACATCCTTTCTTGGTACCCAGAGTAGTTTTGCTCTCAACATAATCTAAGATAACAGCTTCAAGATTAATGGTGACTCAACAAAAATTCTTTTTAGCACATGTGATAGAGGCATTATTTACAGTGTACGGTTTTTGCTACATAGTAATTCAGCAAATTTAGATTACTCTTATACCTTAAACAGTTAGAGTGATTTTACTTGAACTGTGAAACAGATATTAACAAATAGTACAAAATAGAGAGAGGTAAACAAAAGAAGACAATAGAATTAGTGCATAATATTGCGTATTATTCCACTACCTATTAAATGGTGCAAGTAAAATCCCTGTAACTTGGAGACATATGCATGGGTGGTAATACGAGGAATTCTTTGGTGGGAATATGTTATCCAAATCCTGATGATCCTAGATTTCAGACCAATACATGCCATTTTCCATCTTTGTTTTCAGACCTTGCTTCTAAAATCCATACCAATTTTCAGAGCTGACTTCTGAAAGTTGTACTTCATCTACCAACCCATTGCCTTGGTTGACAAGCTGAACATGCATGAATAAATTTTGGTAACTCATTCATAGTTCCCTAATTGTGCAAAAAAGTGACAAATGGCTTGCATAAAAAGTAAGACTAATTTTCTTTTCTCACGTTTGTCATTTTTAACTAGGTAGAAATTGGGGTCATATACAGTTGTATTAGAGATGAGCTATACACTGCCAGGAGAGGCTCTGGAGCATTTCGTAATGGAAAGCAAATTCACTGTTCTGGTCTTACAGGTAGCTGTCAAGTGAACAAAATCAGATCTATTAGAATACAGGAGGCCTTAGATAGCAAGACCAGAAATGGGGGTGGGGGGGAGGGGGTCACTCAAGGGAAGTTAAGGTACACTTATGCCACTTGTTTAAAACAAAAGTTCTTGACCGCTCATCGCCAACCTTCAACCTCTTCTGGTCCAAAAAGACACCCTGTTTAAGTCACTATATACGGTGTGGCACAAAATGTTTGTGGGTTCTAATTTTTGTGATTTTTCCATCAATCCGCAAAAATAAGATCCTGCAAATAAAAATTACCGCAAACATTTTCCTGCAAAAATTTACTCCAGAGTAAATATTCTCTAACTGAAATTTGCTAGGCAGAAAAATAGTACTAAGAAATCGTGTCTGTTCATTCACAACTTGTCTCTTTCATTCAGAAACAAAACAGTATACAACAAAAAACTGTTTCGTATTTCTATTGCTTTTACTCAATAAAAGCGAAAATATTATCAACGCTGGGTACTGGGTACTTTCTAAAAATCCCAAAAATTAATTCCCAGTGAGAAAAACCAGTCTGTCCTAATCGCAAAAATTAGTTCCTGCAAAACACAATAACTTGCCAATCAGCAAAAATAAACTCCCGCAAAAATTTCTTGCCCGCACGGTATTGAAATTGTATACCATGTTTCAGACTCAAGACCCTGAAAATCATACCCTACTTAAACTAGCCTGGGACCAGGCCTGGCAGTTGGGGGAAAAGGGCGAAAAACAATAATCGGTGAGTGACACAAGCAGATTGGCAGTCTGGGAATAGGAAATAGTCTGGCCAATTTTTTTAGGCTGTTTCACTCCGTTTTTTGCCATTTTCTCCCACAGAGGATCCTTGCCCCAGGCTATGTTTAGCAGCACATATCCTTCTAGGCCAAGTAAGGAAGTGTGCCCCATTTCCAGGACCTGAACCTTGTTGGAGTGACCCGTGGTTTGTAAGAACAAGGTTTTGATAGGGGTCTCTTTGTTTGGATTTGGGAATCCTGGTTGAGGTTATTATCTAAGGTTTGTCTTTTATTGTAATGGCTCTATTGCAAATCTCATCTTTCAAGTTTTTCTTGGAAAAAGGAGGGGCTTTTTAATCTTAGGTCCCGTCCACACGAAGACGATTGTAAACGCAAACGCTAGTAAACGCATATTTTTATCTCCGTCCACACAAAAACGATCATCGTTTACGTAGCGTTTTAACCCGTCCACACGAAAACGCTCGTAAACGCATAAAACGATGTCATACACCGAAAGTTCTCTTTCCACTCTTCTGATATCACCACTTGATCGGCAAAGTTGTTCCACCAGGCGCTTGTACGACCTGGTCTGGTCCAGAATCTTCTCTCTTTGCTCTCACGTCTGCATCTAAGTCGTTTTACTCGAGTAAAAGTGCTTGTAGTTGTGGATAACAATCTTGAGAGGTTTAGTCTTCTTCTTTTGTAGTTTTCCTGTATATCGATTATTGCATGATTCAATTGAATGCTCGCAATTATGCTTGAAATAAGCGCAAGCATGACACAGCTCAACACTCGTGTGTACGCCATCTTGGAAACGCACTCGATAAAAGAGACTGGCGCTGACATCTGACGTCAGCGTTTTCACATCGTTTACGAAAATATACGTTTACGGCCGTCCACACGAAGACGCATAAACGGCGTTTTCAAATTTATCCACTTTGGAGAGCGTTTTCGAATTTATGCGTTTACGGTGAGCGTTTTCATCGTCTTCGTGTGGACGGAAGGCCTAAACGCATAAAAAAGTTTGCGTTTACTAGCGTTTGCGTTTACAATCGTCTTCGTGTGGACGGGGCCTTAGTCATTTTCTAAGGGACATAGCAGATTTAGAGTCACGTTTACAGCAAGTGTTAATGTCAGATTCAAGTTGAGAAATTCTCAAAACAGAAAATGATTTATGAAACAGTTCCTTTGGAGAAAACTGGCATAAATCTTCTGATTTCTGTGTACAGTAGTTAAAACGGAACAGAAATCAACAAGAACAGGGAGTAATTGGCCACGTGGTACAAATTTGCATTTGTTTTCCATAAACGTGGCTCTAAATATCTCTAAAATCTTCACATGGTCTGCATGAGGGGGAATCTTATTAATCTTAGCAATATTATTCTACTGAAGGACAATGTGCAAAGTTTATGTTATCACCTAACTTTCCACCTTTATTATTCTCTTTGACAGATATAAGCAAAGCTCTTGTCATCACTGAGTTGGGTGCTTCTAGGGAACTTGCAAACATGGAAGTTGTGAATAAGAACTTTAGAACTGTAGCAGAGCCACCAATTCGAGTTCATGGGTAAGAAACTGAGCTGTAGTGTTCATCAGAGGTGTAAACCCTCTCAGATCTGAAATCGGGAAATTTTCTCACTCATTGACCCAGTCTGTGAACCAGGTTCCTTGGTGGGGGTAACAATGGGGGTAACAGTTGGAGATTGGGGAGGAGAAAAGTGACAGCTCCTTCCCCACAGTTCTCCTGCCAACTGACTTGCCTCTTTCATCCCATTTGCCCTGTCATTCGCCTTTTTTTTTCCATTAAGGAGCCAGGTGCCAGGCTTGACTTCTGATTTTTTTGAATTTTAACGACTAGCCTGTGCACAGAAGCCCCCTTCCTCCAAAAGATTTTTTAAGGGGAGGGAGAGTGTACAGAGGTTAGTAACTAGACTGCAAAACAGTTGGGTTTTTTCTCAAAATCGGTTTAGCATAGTGTAAGAGTAGCATAAGAGTCTCACGCGCGGGAAGGGCGCAAGCCTCACACGTCCAGCGTGTCCCTCTTTCCAGTCTTGCTCTCCATTTTCAGCCTCGCTCCAGACCTTATAATAGTTTGACTGTTCATGCGTACCTGAATAAACAAAAACACGGACTGTTTTGCAGTCTAGTTAGTAACAAGAAGTTTCCTTTCCATTTGCATAAAGTGATTGTAGTTATTTTTTTTGTTTCCGTTATTCTGTGTAGCATCAGAATGTTAGGATCAGCAGCACTTAATTTGTGCTCAATAGCAGAGGGTAGTGCTGACCTGTATTATGAGTTTGGAATTCATGTTTGGGATATCGCTGCTGCTGGTTTAATAGTTGAAGAAGCTGGAGGAGTTCTCTTAGATCCTTCTGGTATGTAAAGCCCCATTTTACACAGCCAGGCGATATACCGTGCACGTTTTATGCTTTCAATATTTCGATTCGTTGTAGCCTTTGTAGCAAGGTCTCTGTTTGCTTTTAGCCAAACAGTATATACCCTGGGTGCCAGAGACTTTTCTAGCGCGGTTTCCGGTTTCTGCTCGTGGCTTCGGCCTTCGGCCGACACCGAAAATTCCCGCTGCGAGAAAAACCTCTGGTACCCAGGGTAAGCAGTAAAAGACTGAGCGAAAGGCGCGCGAGGAATAAAAGGTGCTAAGTCCTTGTGCGTCTTTCGCACTTCCTCCGCTTGGCTAAAAGAAACGGAAACGACTGGTACGAATCTACATTTTAGCTCCGTTGTTTCGAACTTCCAATTTTGATGCCATTAATTAGTGACTTTTCTTGCGCAAAAGTAGGTTCTTCCCCACTTTCCTCCACCACGCCTTACCCCCTCTTTTTTCGCCCCGCCGCCAGGGCGCCCCGGAGAGCTTACTCGCAAGCTAGCGCAAAAGTTATCAAAAAACCTCTCTTTTGGACAAGTGTTTACATTGGATACGCCCCTAGAGCACTCCTAAGGTAACTGCCGTATAAAGATTAGAAAATCGTAATTAAAATAGCCACGAAATCATAGCAAAGACTTAAAGGCTCAGTTTTTAAATGTCTTTGGCTGTGTTCGGTTACCGGTCGTTTCGATGCAAAGTCGTTTCGATACAAGTTAATCCCATCGAGGTGTAAATAGTTTCACGTACTTGGAATATTCAACCAAAATGTTTTACCTGTTCAACTGCAAACTTTTCTTGAAGTGATCGAAATTTTTGTGCAATTTCACTGCTTGAGTTCTCGTATCGAAACGACCGGTTTCCCTACCTTCACACGGCACCAGACGAATTTTCGATGTGCCAAAAAGGCCGCCTTCAAAGTCTCATCTTGTTTTAAATGGAGGGCTACATTTCAATAGATGACGTAATGCAATACATGGCTGTTTTTTTTTTTAGGAGGACCAATAGATTTGATGGCTCGTCGTGTGTTAGCTGCTGGAAGTCAGGAGATTGCGGAGAAGGCTTCTAAGCATTTGGAATGCATTGATTTACCAAGAGACTGACAACAGAAATTACATTGACGATGTTAGTGTAATGGCTATAGGGACTTTACGATCCGACAACGGCGACGCTAATAAAAATTGAATTCGTGACTTTTCAAACTTTTTCTCGATTTTTCCATGTTGCCCAGTTACGACAAAGTAGGGAAACTATGTCTGATAGAGAGAGAGTGCAGGGGGGGGGGGGGGGGGGGGGGGGGGGGGGGGGGGGGGG